TATGGGAAGGGAGGAAAACGGGTCCGTGACGTAGGAAGTGGTGAAGGAAGTAGTAAAGGCTGGCATTGCAGATTGAGTGAACCGTTTGGGCAGTTAGATAAATGTATCTAATACTTAAAATGCTATGAGAAGGGAAGGAAACAGGTCTATGACGTAGGAAATGGTGAAGGAAGTAGTAAGGCTAGCAGTGCAGAGTGTGGGAACTGTCTTTGGCAATTACATTAACGTATCTGCAATCCTAAAATGCTATGGGAAGAGAGGGAAACAGGTCCACGACGTAGGGGGTGTTAGTAAAGGTAGTAAAGGTAAAGGTAGTAAAGGTAAAGGTAGTAAAGGAAGTAGTAAAGGTGGGCAGTGCGGAGTGTTGAGTGTGGGAATGGATGAATGTATCTGCAATGTTAAAATGCTATGGGATGAGACTGGTTAAAATGATTATGAAGCACGAATCGTACCATATTTCGATACGTATTCAATAGTTTACAATAGAAATTTACAACTGAGTTGACAAAAGCGACGATGACGAACGAATTTTATTCATTAAAGAGTAAAAATGCTACTTTTAGACCCGCAACGCATGCATCAATGGCGACTGTTTTACTGCAGTATGACAAAATAGTATATTACGTTACTAGTCCTGAAAATAAGTGTTTACCGAACGAGTGTGGTCGTTCCCGTGCGAGACGAAGTCGAGTACGGGATTACCATACGAGTCCGGTACACACATTTTGGACGAGTGACGTACGATAGTTTACGCCATACTACTAAATCTGTACAAATCCTTATATATTTACACCATCTAAAGGACTACAAATCACTAGTCATTGAGAGGTTATGTTTTTGTTTATAACCACTCATTGCCACCTAAATACTAAATACAGTACAATCAGCTGATTGGTGTCCGGTAAAACTCATTGCAGCACAGTAGTACGCAATGAAACCCCATTTGAATAAGCTGGCGGCAAAGAGCTGTTTTCTGGACTAAATACTTGCGTCGGAAGTTCGTCAAAATAATGTAGTGTGGCGTAAACAATATAATATGAACCCTTGATGACTCCGCTCAATTTTGTGGATGCATCTGCGAACGCCACCTAGTATATATTTTATGTATTTTTGTAATTGACGTAACCAATGCATAACTTATGTAAATCTAGATAAATAAATGACTTATGACTTTAGAGTAAAATACCCCCGCCGCAGTAAACCTGCAGACTAAGCGAATTTCCATTTGCCTAACTGGATTTACACTAAAATGTCTCCTTTAAAATATCTCATTTATTCCCTATTTAAATAACATTAGTTTAACGAATACTTAAGTTTGCTGCAACAGGGAGGGTAAAAAGGTATTTGTTGTAAAATGTAATTGTTTCGTATGAAATGAATGAATTTTCCAAATTTGATCAAAATATGTTCATAAACAAGCAATCTACAACAGTTTACTTATTCTCCATAAGAATAACATAGGAATTTAAAATTTACAGATTTTTGGAGTTTTCTCTGTAACCATTAGGCATATAATAACGCTTCAATATACTAAATTATTTGTTTTTTTTAAGCTCTACATAATGGTTTTGAAAGAAATTGCTAAATTTTAAGTTTTTAGTGTCAACAATGGGAAAAACCTATTTTTACCCCATAAACCCCTGTTCCCATATTCCGATCATGCTGGTTCGCAAACTCGTTCGAATAAACGTGGGTTTACACGTTTGTACCAAATTTCATCAAAATCGGATGATTTTTGCTCGAGTTATCGCGCTATTGGACACATATATAAATATAAATATAAATATTTATATTTATATGTGTGTCCAATAGCGCGATATATATATATGAATTTGAACGGATGGTGTTTTTGGTCTCTAGGGACCTCAAAACAAAAAAGTAAATCGGTCCCGGGTCCAGGTCTTACGATGAGTACTACGGTAATAGCTTATTCCCTATATGGGAAATTCGCTAAAAAAGAAATAATTTAGTTTATTGTTGCATGCCTACCGGTTGAGGATGTATAAGAAGTTCCCAAGTTATTCTTAAGGATAATAACAAAACTTTTTTAGTTTTCTTGTTCTTGGATTTTACTTAATCAAATTTGGTAATCTTTGTTTATTTATTTTTATTTAGCAAAGAAATAATCTGACATTTTTAAGAAAATACGAGATGCTATAAGCAGGTTGTTTTGTTCGTGGTATGTCTATATAGTAACCGAGCTTCACAACGGGAGGAGAACGTGGTTAGAGTTGCAAGTTTAAAAATCTAGGCCTGTTATGGATCTAAGATTAAAAACTTAATTTTAACACCTAACCTTGTGTGTAATAAAATTCTTTACATCTTACTACACAGAAACAGGTACTTTTCCTATTCCATCCATAGGATGGGAAGTTACCCTTTGCCATGCCTAAACACGGAAAAGTAGTAATGTACTTTTACGCCACACTACATTATTTTGACGAACTTCCCACGCAAGGATTTAGTCCAGAAAACAGCTGTTTACCGCCAGCTTATTCAATTGGGGTTTCATTGCGTACTGTACTACCGTACTATACTGTAATGAGTGTTACCGGACACCAATCAGCTGATTATACTGTATTTAGGTGGCAATGAATGGTTATAAACAAAAACGTAATGAGTAGTGATTTTTAGTCCTTTAGTTGGTGGGAATATATAAGGATTTGTACAGATTTATTAGTATGGCGTAAACTAACGTACGTAACTCGTCCAAAATGTGTGTACCGGACTCGTATGGTAATCCCGTACTCGACTTCGTCCCGCACGAGAACGGTAAACACACTTATTTTCAGGACTAGTAACGTAATATACTATTACAGTGTACTTAGTCAGCTGTTGAAATAAACAGCTAATTTCAGCGGCCTATTTTATTTTCAGAAAAAAAAAATCTAATTTATGTTCTGTCCTAAATAAATTGTGTCGCACGAAAATCCCGTACTCGGCTACGCCTTCTATAAACACCTTACCGCTTACCTGGCTAGTAACCTAATACAGTAGGCATATACTATTTCTTTATACCTACTGCATTTAGATAAGGTGTTTAAGTTTCTTAAGCAGCCATTACAGTTTACAGGTGGTTCTGATGTGTGTTTGTAAACACTGTAACAACTCTATGATTTATTTTAAATACCCCCCGCAGCAAACCTGCAGACTAAACGAATTTCCATTTGCTTGATTGGATTTACACTATCTCCTTAAAATATCACAATATTATTCCCTATTTCAATATAGCATTAGTTTAACAAGTACTTAGGTATGTTGTAACAGGGAGGGTTTTAAAGGGGTTTTTTTTAAATATTATTACATGTAGGTAGTTTAATATGAAATAAATGCATTTTCAAATTTTGATCAAAAGATGTTCATAAACAAGCTAACTACAACAGTTTACTTATTCTCCATAAGAATATCATTGGGATTTTAAATTTAAAACGGTTTGAGTTTTCTCCGTAACCATTAGGCGCATAATAATGCTTCAATATACTAAATAATTTGTTATTAAGCTCTACAAAATAGTTTGGAAAGAAATTATTGCAAAATTTTATGTTGTCATTGCTTTTTATGGATCGCCATATTGGCAATGGAAAGGTTAACAAAAGAATCAAAGCATCTGCAGTTTGTTTAGGCAAATTAACGCAGTTTTTTAATTTCCTCATTTCCGGTGTAAGTTGCTGATACAAATGTACTACAACTCATTTAATATTTCAAAGTGTAACAATGAACAACGTAAATTTGTTATTTGGATTAATCTGTTTTAACACTAAGCTAGCAAGTTAAATGAAAAAACTATGTACACCCCTACTCTGTCATTATATATTTCAAATAAATGTATGATTGAAAAAACTTTGATGGATACCATAATCATCCTCTAGCAAAGTTTGGCCTAGGTAGCAAGTTTTAACTACCTTCTTACACGAAAAAAACTGTTAATAAATCATAATACAAGTGCGACAAATAAATGTCAAATTATTTTAAGCCTTCAAACGGCAGAACACATATTATATACACAAGATAGTTGAGATAGCATTGACAAATTTGAAGGAGACTGCAAGCTGCAAGCGCCGTGAATAGAAGTCGTTCGGAGTTAAAAAAAAGAACGACTCTCATTATACTCAACCGATCTGTTCAGCAAGAGCTGTTCACCTTCAATTTGAATCTCCCGCTCTTTGTCGATCTGTTTTGCTTGTCGACATTTTGCGTGTCGATAAAGTGGGAAAATTTACACAACCGTCCCACATAACAGACATCCCACATAACCGACATCCCACTTTACAGACATCCCATATTACCGACACTGTCGACATTTTGAGTTGTCGACAAAGTGGGACTATTTCAGTGTCGATCTTTTGGGATGTCGATAAACTGGGACCCCACGTAGCTAGCTACGGGCTACGATGCTGTCGGCTCGTCCAGTCGGCCTCTCTGACGAGTGACGACGACGACGACGACAGCGACTGGAGACTGGAGCGAAGCGAGTGAGGGTGGCAAACACATGCCGTACTTTTCATTTCCAATCCATGGCAAATGGTATTGGTGGCAATATTTGCATTGAATATTTTTTCTTGAATCGCTATCGTATTCGTAATTACAATTTAACATATTCTGATTTTCTGCTTTCTGCCAGGAACTTGGGATCGGCTAACAATAACGGAAGTACCAAAAACACTGGGAAATCTTTACCACTTACCAGGACATGTGTCAATGCTCTGAAAAATAATTTGACAGTAAATATAGTATATAGCTTATGAATTCTAAATTTTATTTTCAGTTAAAGATCGCGCCACTCATCTCCATTCATAGGCCTACTTGGCTTAAAATATATGTTTGGTCGCCATTTCATTGAACAGTATTAACAGTACTCTTTCAGCTACATGACATGTAGTTTAGACTGCTATCGGAAATAAAATAAAAAAAAAACAAAGGACTGCTCGGTTAAAAATTCATTCGGTTGTCGATGTCGATTTCGATTTCGGTTCGGTTGTTCGGATCGGATGTCGGTTCGCTGGTTCGCTCAAATTTAAATTTTAAAAGTGGTCATCTTTTCTTGCATGTAACTTGTAAAGTTGTATTGTTATTTGTTTTCAGTTCTAATTCATTTATTCTTATTTGAATGATTTATTTATGGTGTTTGTAATTTAAATCAGTTCGTCTGGGCTGATTTGAGTGTGACTAGTGTGAGGCTTGTCTTGAATTTTAACTTTTAAATCGGCACGGCACAACGCAGGCTTCCTTACTACTGTACTGTATGTATAGTGTATTTTACATCAACGAAACTGGAAGAACATGCAACATTGCAACGGCTTGGTCTTGGTGCTTTTTCAAAATGTTCAATTCAATGAGAAACATCAGAGAAACTCGTTGCGTTAGACTGAGCACAAGAACATGACATTTTAGATTATTGGGAGTGTTTAGTTTAGTAAGTTAGCCTATATCATTTTGTATGAATAATCATTAAGTGGTAACTTAACTTACAAAAAAACAATTGAACTAGGGCTACAAGGCTATCAAATGAAAGGTACGGTAAGTCTACTCCTTTATAAAGTTAGACTTTAAACGCACCTAGGGCCTATATTAATTTAAAACAACAGCTAAATGCTAAGCTACTTTAATTGTGGAAAGGCTAATCATGAAAATTGAAAAAAAAACCTAGGCCTAGTACCGTATTTGGTAGTCTTTAAGTAACTTAGGCTAGATCTACTCTAACGACTAGATTAGTTGTTAACCCAGCTAGGCCTGTCTCCGTTGAGATAACTTAGCCTAAGTTTAGGCCTGTCTCCGTTGAGATAGCCTAAGTTTAGGCCTGTTCTTTAAGCCTGATAATTTACTCGGGTACAGTTTCTTAACTGGGCTACGCTAATATCGATTCGATTAGTAGGCCTAAACCTTCATCCAATTTTTTCACCATCAGCAAGTTTGGTTGGCTAGGTTAGGTTATGATGGTTTGACTGCACTTTACTATAGGTCCTACACTCATTCGAACAAAAATATCGAGCGATATATCGATTAATCAATTGTTTCATTCGATATATCGTTTGGTTAGTTAGGTAAGGTTAACCTATCCTAACTAACCAAATGATATATCGAATGAAACAGTCGAATAATCGATATCTTCATTTGAATGAGTGTAGGACCTAAAGTAAAGTGCAGCCGATAGTTTTATTTTATAATGGATCTAGGCCTACTTAGGCCTATATTTAAAAATATTGATTATTAATCAATATTTTCAATTCAATAGTTTCAATCAATGTTAGCGTAGCCCAGTTAAGAAACTTTACCCATTTACTCATTCCTTTTTAGTGTAAGTTATTGCAAAATACCTGTCACAGCAAACCTGCTGACTAAGCAAATTTCCATTTGCCTGATTTGACTCTCACTTAAACTTAAATCTATTTATTTAAATAGCATTTAGATAACAAGTAGGCTACCTAGGTTTCCTACCCCATAAAACCCCCCATTTAACTTTTAAAAGCCCCGTTCCCATGGTCCGATCATGCTTGTTCGCGAATTCATTCAAGTTTATCCCACCTTACTTACATCTTCAAGCCAAATTTCATCAAAAATTGGATAACAATTGGCAAGTTAAGCTTAACTTATCTTGTTCATAGCTACATTATGCCTTACAGTTATAAAAATTTGAACCAATTGTGTTTTTAGCATCTAGGGACAAACTGAAAAGTATATTGGACCTGTGTCCAGGTTATAATCCATCCCGTGTACAATCACATCGGTTTTGTTCTGCAGTTACAGATTTGAATTCACAGTATTTACTTAATGATTTCAAAGCTTGGACATATCAGGCCTGCCGGTATTGAATGTTTTCATTTGAGTTCGGTTTTCTCGTACCGTAGCTAGTTTGTGTCTTGCAAAAATTATGTTAGGAGATAATTGCACTAGGTATTAATGTCAAGACACAGATTGATTAGTACCTATAGCTTGGCTTAAAATACCTACCGGTACTTTGTATGGTCGCAATTTCAATGAAAAGTAAAAGAAAAGTTAAGTACTTTTAAAACATCTTCATTTGAAACTTTAGCAATGTCAAAAGAAAGTTTTAATCCAGTGAAAAATTTCTTTTTTTTTGCTGTTAGAGAATTTGGGTTGATACCTATCTAGAAGTTGGGGTTTTAATATTTTCTCCATTTGATTTATTTTACTTTACATTTACCGGTACAGTTTTTATATCGTTTATCATCCAGGGCCCTGTTTCATAAAAATACTAGTCTAGTAAATACTAGTCCCGTATTTACATGTCCTACTAATTTGTGTTTCATAAACGTTTTTATACCGCTAGTAAATACTAATGTATTTTACTAGTCACGTGACCAACTTTACAAGGTAAACTCTCAAAACAAATTTCTAACCTCAATCACGGTTTTCCAAACCCTTTATAAAGGGTTTTAATTTTGTTTTCATTTGATACAAAAAGTAAATAGTTTTAGAAACGCAGTGTTTTCTTTAAATTAATAACTATATAGACACATAAGTAGTGATGTGGGCCGGGTAAATACCCCGTGGGTAGGTAAATATAAATTGGGTATTTACCCGGGAATTTACCCAAGGCCCGGGTAAATACCCAAAAACTGGGTATTTATAATTTTTATTAAAGTTAGAGAAGATTGAGATTTTTTTTGCAATTATCACCCTGTAAGGATATTAAAATGATGATAAAATGTGTTAAACAAAATTTCATATGGTCACTACTAGCATTTTACTTCTGGGTACAATCGCCATAAATACCCAGGTCTGAGCATAAAGCATAATCGGCATAAATACCGTGGTCGCGTGGTTGCATTGGTCCTGCCTACTTATGATTTTTTAATTTCTATGATAGATAGATATGAACTTATTTTATTGAAAGTGAAGAAAAATAATTTGCAAAGTAATAATTATTATTTATAAATAAATACATGAAAATTTAACCTAGTAGTGGCCTAGGCGTGTAAACAACTTAAGACAATAATTAAAATTCAATCTGTAGGATGGCAGGATTTAATAATATTTTTGTTCTAGATCTTTTGTTGGTTTTAATGGTACCAAAATTAAAATAAAACTTATTTTATAAACTTGTGATACAAAACATTTAAATCTACAGCAATATAAATCTTTCAAAATTATATTAAGTTAGACCAAAAAACAGGGAAATTCATTTTTTTAGTAGGTTTATCCAAATATATTATTGTTTCCAACTAAGCGGTAACACAGAAAAGTTTAATTGCTTTTAGTATTCTGCCATTCTGCCTGAAGACGGTGACACATTATCGATCTTTTCCCCAAACCGAGATGGGAGAAGGGAGAAGGGAGGTCGAAGGGAGCATGTTCGATAGTGTGTCAGGGGTCCGTACACCGATCCAGACGGCGAACCAGACATCAGGCCGAGCAGGGAGACGAGCGCTCTGGAGGCGGTTTTTTTGCGAAAGATCAAAGAAAAGATCGGTCCGATGTACGGAGTGATGTACGATAGTGTGTCAAGGTATATTTTTGCCCCGTACGTCGTCGCGAGCACCGCACCGAGCGGCTGCCTGCACCAGCGGTGATAGTTCTAATTTAACATGGCAGTTAAACTCTTTAATTGCTAAAATAAATAAATGTTGGGTGGGTAATATTTTGCCGTTATATATTATGGGCATTTATGTTGTGATTTTGTGGTTTGTTTGGTCAAGGTTGAAAATGTATTTAACAAGTTGAAACCGTTATATCAATGATACTACAATAATGTTTAACTTGAATTAAGTAATTGATGTTATACTTAAATTATTTCAAAATAAATATAAACATAAATAATATTAAAGGCAATTAAAATTATCATTCTGTAACATATTATTTCATGTGTTATTACTGTTTTATTAATACTGCCTCCACGCTCTCACTCACACACGCTCTCCATCTCTCTCTAAACTCCCTTTTGCCGCGCTCGGTAGAACTTGTCTGGTCTTGGTCTTGTTCGGGGAAATGTTCGGATTGAAATTTTGTATATTTTCCTCCCTTCTCCCTGCTCGGTTCGGGGTCTTGATCGGGGAAAAGATCGATAGTGTGTCACCGCCTTTAGGTCTGTCTAGCCTTCCAAGCCATTTATATGATAAAAATTTTTAACTATCATATTTAATAACAGTAGAAGTAGGTTTAGGTTTACTATTTCTCTGATGAAGTGTTGTCTTAATAAAAAATGAAACCCCATTCTTAATTAAAAACTTTATGTTTTATAAAAAAAAGTACTAAATCATTAAATAAAAGGTACTAGCAAAGCTTCCAAGTTACTGTAAAAGGTGTTATAGACTATCCTAATTTTTCATCTAATGACATGATAACAATAACATAACATAACATGATGCAATAACATATTTAGGGGTGAATATAAATGAATTTCAATCGATTTCATAAATACCCAAAATACCCGGGTATTTATGGATTTTGGCTATTTACCCGGGTAAATACCCAGGGTATTTACCCTGAGTTTTAAATACCCGGGTATTTTACATCACTACACATAAGTAAAACAATCACATATTATTTATCAAACCGCTATTATTTATGTTCATTAATGAGACCGCCGGCGCGGCGCGGTTTCGCGTTGCTGCAATCAACACGGTGATTGTAGTAACCGGTTGTAGGCCTAGTTGCGGCACTCAACAGTTGGGTGGAAGTTGATCTGTTGCTGCCGCATTCGCTGTGATTTGTATAGTTTTTGTTTTATTCTGACATATAAAATTAAGCTTGCTATGAGTAAAGAAAAGAAGGCTCAAATTTTGAATGTAATTAAATACGTCTAAGGACATTTTGTTTGGAACGTTTTCAAGTACCCTAACCTATGTTTTCAAATATTCGAATGCATAAGAATATTTGAGTTACAAACTATTTGGTGATATTCTAATTTTGAGTCTACAAACCATCAATAATAAGCCTAAACGTTTATTGATGTAACAAACAATTGCAACGCCGTTACAAGCAATGGTTTTCAAGCAAATGGTAAAACATGGCATTGTCACTATGGCAGGGCGTAGCTCAGAGGCAGAGTTCTCGATTGTCATGTGGTGGGTCTCTGGTTCAAATCTGCGCCACTCACTATACTTTTTATTCCATTAGTTAGACTTTTACATGTTTTTACATTAAAATAACAGCTCTAATCAACATAAATTTTTGTATTACTTTGAATAACAAATTCAGAATACCGAAATGGATTAAAAGTAATGTTTTCATGATAAGCAGTTCAGTTCAACGCCCAAAAATCAAACATAGGCCTACAAAATTGTTAGTACATCACAGGATTTTAGCTATTTAGCAAATAATAAGCATCTAAAAAATATACAATGCAACTTCTCTTTAAAACTGTCTTACTATTATTTTCTATTAAAATGTCTTTAAATAAAACCGAGAGCCTTAATTGGGTTGTAAAATAATCTGATTAATGTTGCAACGTTGGATACATTTTTGTACATCTTTGTATGCAAAACGGTATGCGGTTTTAATTTGGTTTCTCTCAAAGCTTAAAAATCTTTTCTCTGTGATAGCTAAATAGTTGATATAGCCTAACCATGAAATTTAACTCAAGTAAAATTAGACAAAAATTTCACAGAAATTGATAACTTATAATTATAATTATTTCAATAGGGAGATTGTACATACATTATAAAATTCAATTTCACTCATTTTGTACTAGCCACATTTATTGATTGTAATTTATATCTAACTAGCTGAGTACCCGTCCTTCGTACGGGGTTGGTATACAATGTTTATTGTAGTTAAATACTCGTGCTTTGCATTTACAATTAGAGAGAACACGTTTAGAGAAAATTTGGTTTACTATAATCTTCGGTATACTACAGAACATCTACCATAGCCATAATGTTCCACCACTTCACCTAAACAATAGAAAGAAGTAAAGTTCTCACACTCAGGCTTTTGTTGCTGCTTGGTTCAAATTAGCTATTGTCATAAATGTATAAAGAACTAATGGTGCTGCACCCTGTTGGTAAACCATGTAACCTTTTACTGCTATTGAATATCATAGAAACAAATTGTGTAGTTGAAACAGCTGGCAAAATTATTTAATTCCTTTTAAATATGAATACTCATGAGGTTAACATGGGAAACTCTATAGCCACAGGGGCGGAGCCTGAAAGGATTTTTGAAGTAAGAATATGTCTATATGTTAATCGGGAATGTGATCTATCATCATACCAAATATCAAAACAATCCGACCAGTAGTTAATGCGTGATTGAACTTCAAACAAACACACAAACTTTCACATTTATAATATTAGTTTGATAATTATCATTTTAGCACTCACAGATCTATTTGTGAACCAATTCGCACTTGCAAAAAGAACTTAATAATTCATTTTTTAAATGATGTGAGTAATGAAATAACTCTCTTTTCAAAAATACTAGTCTACTTCAAATAATACGGGAGAAGAAAATAATACGGGTTGGTAGAAAATAGCAAGTATTTACTAGTGTAATTTACAAGAGTAAAACTTTATGAAACACATTGCTGTCTACACTAGTAAAAACCACTAGTAATACTAGTCCCTACACTAGTAACTAGTATTTTACACTAATAGGTTTTTGAAACGTAGACTTGTAAAATACACTAGTATTACTAGTCCATGGACTAGTAATACTAGACTAGTATTTTTATGAAACAGGGCCCTGGAAATAAAAATGTAGGCCCTAGTAGCAGATGCAATTCTCAACAGTCAATGCCTCTGTTACTGAAAGGCCCAATTGTCTCTTTGATTTACATCAAGCACTAAGCCTTAGATTTGAAAAAGGCTTAAAACATTCATTATTTCAACAATTTATTTCAGTAAAACCAACGTCATTATAACAAAATAACAACAAATAAACAAGTTTAATTGCATAGTAACCAGGACAGCTGATTATAGTATAAAATCAAGGATATTAGAAATCATCCAATAATAAGCCTACTTAGTTATGTAACTTATTGCGTCCTTTCCAATATAGGCCTATTATTGTTCTAGTTCATTCATTTTCAATTTGAATTGAAATCCACATTACCTAAATATTTATTTGCCTCCTTTTCTGTCCCTGTTCCTCCTAAAATTCTGTTCCTTCAATTTTTTTTACTAGGCCTATTAAGTTTTTTTTTATATATTTTTTTTAAATAGGTTGGCGGCCTCTTTTAACCTTGCATTTGCCTGTCCATATAGACTAACCGCCCGTTTGTGGATCGTATACAGCAAAGCAAGGAGTGAGCCAGTACAGTACACAGGTGATCTGTAGGCCTACTGATAAAATGTTTTCGGCAGTGACCAGGATCCGAACCCACGACATTGTTGCCTTGGGCCCGAAGTCCGTGACGCTACCGACTGACTTATAGTTAACCAGTTAGTTAATAAGTTACCGTCAATCAATGAACAAGGTGAAACTAATATTGATTGTTTGTGTTTTCCAGTCAAGATGGCAGAGTCTTCACGCCAACAAAATACGCCAGTTCGTCACGATGAGCTCTCATTTGCAAGGAAAAGCCTTAGAACAAAAGTATTGATCTCAGCAAGTTTGCACAAAGAGACCAAAGACTGTTTTGAAAGTAAGGAAATCAAAAGACTGAATGGATCTCAAATGCTTTCTTCCACTAGAATTTGTGAAACTTCATCGTTAATAGGAGCTGAGGTAAAAATATCTGATTAGCCTATTTTATTTGTGTTTACTCTTTTATATTAACTTTCATAGTTTACCTATTTATTTTGTTGAGATACAAGATGCAAGGTCTTTTTTCTTGATCAACCAAATACAAGGGTTAAAATTGTGTTAGGCTACTAAATATAAAATAACCATTTTAAAATATTTTATTTTACCTTTGTATCTAAAATCAAATTGTTTACATTTTTCTGCCTATGTTTAATGTACTGGGATGAACTAGTACTGAAGGTGAAAAAAGTTTCTATAGTATTTGGTGTTTAGCAATTCAGATGATTAGTTAACTTATCTATAACTTTAGCCCTATGTTAGCCTATTTGTTCATAGTCTAAATACTGTTCTGTAAAATTTCTATGGTAGGCTATGTAAAATACACAGTGACAAATATATCTTTTAATATTCTCAATTTCTAGTTGTTCTTTGTTAAATTGATTTTAGGATGATTGTCGTTCACAAAATATTTGGGAAGAGTCTCCAGTAAAACAAGATGTTTCATGCCAGAGTGAAGAAGCAGATGAAGACATGGAATCCTTTAGGTAGGATGGCTTTGTAATAGTGATTAAAATGTTCCTTAGAACCAAAAACCATAATTATTTTTGGTTAAAAAAGTCTGCAGAAATTAGAAAAATATGTGGGTTCAGTTAATGCTGTTATGGTTGTTTTTCAGTAGAATACCGTATTAAATAAACGTCCTGATACAATAGACAAAACCTTGAACTTCAATTGTATAAGTTTTCACAAAGGTGTACTTTACCCATTTGCTTTTACTCTTTTAAGTTATATCAAACAAATTTTAACTGAGAAAAAATATTGTTTTAATTTGAGCAAGATCTGTTATTTTATATGATCACTGTAATATTTGGTCATCATGATGAAATTATCTTTGATAACGTGTACTGAAAGGTGATTTTTTGGCACTCTCTCCATTATTCTTGTCCGAGGCTCAGGCTTAAAAAATATTCTCATATGCCCGGCTTTGCCTCGCACATGAAATTTTGTGTTCCTGTGTGAGGCAAAGGGTACTTTTTTATAAATTATACTATTATTATTATTCAGGTTAAGTGTAAGAGAGGGCCATTGTAACGGTAAAAATTTACCGAGATCAGAAAACGAGCGTTCGTACGAATTCAAATGGCCCGCGCAGAGTCATTAGTTCACCGAGCGGCCACGCACTGCGCTAGCGTCGCGACTCCTATAAAAGCCGCGCAGGACACGGGCCAGTCGGACTTGATTGCTGGGCGAATAGCTAGCAACATCTCCCTGGTAGGGCGAGGGCGGAATAGCCCGGTAATAACCAGTGGTGGAATAACCCTGGTAGCGTCGAATACTAGGATTAGGCTGAGGGCGGAATAGCTCTCGGACCCGCGGATATAACGAGACGATAGGTCGAGGGCGGAATAGCCCGGTAAATAAGCCAGTGGTGAAATAACCCTGGTAGCGTCGAATACTAGGTGTTAGACCGAGGGCGGAATAGCTCTCGGATCCGCGCATATACATCGCGAAACCGTAGGTCGAGGGCGGAATAGCCCGGTAATTAGCCAGTGGTGAAATAACTCTGGTGTCGTCGAATAGTAGGTGTTAGGCCAGGGCGAAATAGCTCGGTGGACCCGCGACAATCAAATCGGTTAATTGTAAGTATAATTGGTTTTAATTCCAAAAGTGAAACACGGTATATCCATTAAGTAGAGGTTTTATTTTATTTTTGAAGTTAAGATTTTAGTTAATTACGACCAGTGTTTCACTCACGGAACTAACACCTAATTATTAATTTGTTTAAATTAGGGCCTAACCCGGGCAGTGATGAATGTGTCATTCACTGAAAGCTGATGCTTTAACGACCATATCTGAGCCCATATTTTAAAACTTAACTATTATTATTACTACTAACCCTGGACTAACTCAATTAGTTTAGCTATCCGAGGCCGACAGTACAATTTTGTCCCAGGACGAAATTGCACCGTCACAAATGGCGCTGCGAACAGGGACTTGGTAATTATATAGTTATCGATCGTTAATTCTTGCCATTTTTGGCTGGCGCCCGAACGATTTGTTTTTCAGTGAGAAAGTACGGTAAATATCGAAAATGCGAGTTTTACAATTGTTCTTAAACATTTGGTCTTATCTTCTCTGGCCCGTATACTACGTAGTTACTCCGAGTAAAACTACTGCGGAAAAAACTCTCAGGACTACGTCGAGCACCACGAGTAGTGCTACAAGTACGGGTGCAATATCGAAAACGACCAAATCGATCGAAACAACTAGTACTTCGACGATTACTACTACTACGAGTACTGGGGCGATATCGGAATCGACCAAACCGATCGAAACGACTGGTACTTCGACGATTACTGCTACTACAAGTACTGGCGCGATATCTAAAACGACTACGAGCGAGGTTAATAAAATTAAAGAGATTTTAGGAATGCCAGAAAATGTACCGTTCGAGGAATTGTGTATATCAATTTCAAATTTAACACGACGATCGAATACTTACGATACTAACGAGCCAACACAGCCGATGCGAGGAACGGGCGGATTAACTTACAGCTCGTTGCCTATTATGAGTACGCAAACAGTTACGTCAAATAGGCCTACTGTTAGCGAAATGCGACATTTGACGGACGAATATAATACTACGCCATCAGTTTGTAGTATTGTTAGAAAATGGAATGTGAAGTTCGACGGACATAAAGATCCCATATCATTCCTCGAACGACTTGACGAATTAATCGAAGCATACGGGATTAACGATAACGAAATACTTAAAGCACTTCCCGAATTGCTTACCGGTACTGCACTTTTGTGGTACAGAAATGGGAAAGATTTCTGGCCAACATTCGCGACATTTAGAGATAGTTTCGCGCTACAATTTCTGCCACATGGTTATCAGCGAAACCTTGATGAGGAGATAAGGCGGCGAACACAGGGCGAAAAGGAGCCTTTTAGGGACTTTGTAGTTGCGATAACTACGTTAATGAGAAGGAAAGGCGGGCTTTCGTTACAACAAAAGCTTGACATTATTTTTACCAATATGCGACCGGACTACAAGTTAACGATGAGGAGAGGAGAAATATTCTCTCTTGAGGAGATGATTACGCAGGCGACGCATGTTGAAAGTTATATGCGTGAAAAGGCGTTATATCGTCCGCCACCGCCGCCGTCGATGGCACTGGTACCAGAAACAGCTTATCAGCCACGAAAGCAAATGGAAAAACATTTTGCACAATCCGTCATTAATGTATCAGAAATAAATACACACGAACACGAGAATGAGGGAATGCGTGACGATGTAAATAAATCATTACATCAATTACAGAATAAAGCTTCTCATCGAAAATACGATTTTAACCAGCGGTGGAATAACCGCATGGTTAATCAAAATAGCGATAACTACAATACACGTAGGCCGAATGCCGCGCATACCGCAAATATCGCGAGTATAGGAGAATGTAAGCAGATGAAACAAACTGCACGACGACCGATCATTTGCTGGAATTGCGATAAAATAGGGCATTTATACCGAGAGTGCCGACGACCAAAAGTTTTAAAATGTTTTAACTGTAAAACTGTGGGTATTAAAACAGTCAATTGTAGGTGCAATCTGGGAAACGAAACTCGGACTCTGGTGGTAGGAGCTCATACCCAGGTTACACAAAAACCCTCTAGTTGGACCGATTGGTTGGAGCGTATTAAAATATTTCCGACGGGTTTTGGGTCAGTCAAAGATTCCACGGACAATCGGCCGTACGTTGCGATTTCGATTTATGGGAAAAACTATTTGGCTCTTTTGGATTCTGGAGCAGCTGTGAGCCTGATTAATTCCAAAGTGGCGAAACACTTGGTAAGTTGTGAAATTAGGCCTAAGCCAGTTTCTATTGAGACTCGATTTGCGGACGGTACTACAGCGAAACAAACTGAGATTTTCGAGTTTGAGGCTACGATTGACGATAGGAAAAACGTTTTAAATGCAGTCCATCTACCTTCGCTGACTAGCGATGCTGTTTTGGGAGTAGATACGCTAGATAAACTAGGCTTGATCACGTACAACGTTAAAACTTGTCATTTGAAACGAGATGACGAATTTGAAGTCACGAATCGTAAAGAGACTGATAACAGAGTTGCCGATGTTTTGTCACAAAACCCCGTTAAGCAGCCACCGGCTGAAGATGTACGAGTCACAATCTGTCCCGTAGTCGCGCATTTCAAGCCTTCGCTACAAACCTCAAAGGTTAACGAGCAACCAAACCCAGATCGTGGGTATCATACTTCGTTTGTGAAAGTAAGCAAATGTCCTTCCTCATCCGACAAATATACTTCGGAATTAGGAGAGCCAGAGCGTGAGGTAAAACATGCCAAACGGATACGGCGTTGTACGAAATTGTACGATGACACCCAAAAGAACCTCCGAACTGCCTTAAATAGACAGGCTAACCTACGGAGAAGGGATGTGCGGTACAATGTTGTTCGGTCCGTTCTAAAGCGAACTCACGTGCTCTCGTCGAAAACCGAAGCTATTGCGAGTCGATTAGTGCCGAAATATGAAGGGTCCTGTTATTGTCATAGGTCGGTACAAAGTAAACCCCCCGAATGGAAATAGAAACAAGTATTTCGAGTTAAGGGTCTTAGGCCTTTTCTAGGACGGCATGACGATTAATAGTCGTTCTAACTATTTGATGTTGAAAAAAAAAACGTCTTTAACATCACAAGAATATTGTTTTATTTTATACGAGAGTTTTCCTTTCAGTTACGGGAAACGATGGCACCCATTGTTGATTTCTCTGAAGTGAGAGAATTTTTTTTTTCGTGCGTTTTTTTTCTCACCCCGAACTAAAGAGGGGGTGTAACGGTAAAAATTTACCGAGATCAGAAAACGAGCGTTCGTACGAATTCAAATGGCCCGCGCAGAGTCATTAGTTCACCGAGCGGCCACGCACTGCGCTAGCGTCGCGACTCCTATAAAAGCCGCGCAGGACACGGGCCAGTCGGACTTGATTGCTGGGCGAATAGCTAGCAACATCTCCCTGGTAGGGCGAGGGCGGAATAGCCCGGTAATAACCAGTGGTGGAATAACCCTGGTAGCGTCGAATACTAGGATTAGGCTGAGGGCGGAATAGCTCTCGGACCCGCGGATATAACGAGACGATAGGTCGAGGGCGGAATAGCCCGGTAAATAAGCCAGTGGTGAAATAACCCTGGTAGCGTCGAATACTAGGTGTTAGACCGAGGGCGGAATAGCTCTCGGATCCGCGCATATACATCGCGAAACCGTAGGTCGAGGGCGGAATAGCCCGGTAATTAGCCAGTGGTGAAATAACTCTGGTGTCGTCGAATAGTAGGTGTTAGGCCAGGGCGAAATAGCTCGGTGGACCCGCGACAATCAAATCGGTTAATTGTAAGTATAATTGGTTTTAATTCCAAAAGTGAAACACGGTATATCCATTAAGTAGAGGTTTTATTTTATTTTTGAAGTTAAGATTTTAGTTAATTACGACCAGTGTTTCACTCACGGAACTAACACCTAATTATTAATTTGTTTAAATTAGGGCCTAACCCGGGCAGTGATGAATGTGTCATTCACTGAAAGCTGATGCTTTAACGACCATATCTGAGCCCATATTTTAAAACTTAACTATTATTATTACTACTAACCCTGGACTAACTCAATTAGTTTAGCTATCCGAGGCCGACAGTACAATTTTGTCCCAGGACGAAATTGCACCGTCACACCATGTGGCCCTAACCTTGCCTGGTAAAATAAAGAATTTTTCATTTCATTTTTCATTATTCAATAAACATTTTATCAAGGTTATTGGAGTTTACAAATAATTATCGATCTTTAACAATATTTTGACAAACTGTTTTTTATCTTAGTAAATCTGCACATTTGATTGTATGATTATTAATTAATATAAATTTTTAATTTTTTGTTTAGTTCGGACAGCTGTGATAGCATGGAGGCAAGCATTATCCAACAAAAGCATTCCACACCTCAAGTAATGAAGTTTTCTGTTAGAGCAGTATCTTCAACACCCAACCAAGAGAATTTTAGTATCATCAGCAAACTTACTAAGAATGGTCAGTTTCTACATTTTTGGCATTGAAAGTTGCAAAGTTTTAAGTAATTAATTTCTCTTTGTCCATAAATTTACACTTATACTTTTCTTTCAGTCGATAACTTAATTTTTATTTAGCCTATCTGGAAAAGTGACTTGTTTTAACTTGACTTAAAGCGACTTTATGTTAGGCAGCACATATTCACGCTACTACTCGTGGAACTGGATGCAACTTGACCAATGGCGAGTTATGAACAAATCCTCAAATTCTTAAACATGTTGATAGCTAGAAAATTACTGTATCCTCAATATGAATCACTCAATGACGTATTGTTTTCAAAATGTGCACAGCCTCCTACGAACCAACTAAGCCACTGTTTCATATTTTTACGTCTAAACTCTTTCGTTCAATTAATGATAACGGATTTCAATTGATTCCTACAAAAACCTAATACAAACCCCGGTTCATACTCGGCGGAAGCATCAAATTTCCTTTGCATCATTTTTGGCTACTATGAATAGACACGTCCCATTAGAGTTGAAACTCTGCTAGAATTTTAGTAGATAAAGAATAAAACACCGCACTTGTTTCAAATTTAAGCAAGCTTAGCGACAAGCTCAATAGAGGCCGGATAACGGAAAACCCTCGTATACAAATATTCGCCTGTCCTGAAGGAGTTAAGAGTAGCAAGACACGCTTTGTTAATGTCCAAGAACACTTACTATTTTTTTAATCATATTTCAAAATTGTTTTGTGTGGGACTATGCCTCTGCACTCTATTTCAGTAGCTCCATTCTATGTTAAATCAGAAAGAAGATTTGAAGAATGAAAAAACTAAAATTGTAAACATGAGTAAAATGGCGTAACACAAAAAATAAAATTTTATTTGATAAAGCCAAAAGTCTGAATAAGGCTTTTAGAAAAAAAGTCAATGCTACTAAAAAGAAACATTTTGAGACTAAGGTTAAGCAATCTAGTAATGTATGTAAAACTACCTGGAAAACCCTTAATAATGAGGTCTCCAACAAGAAACCAGCATTTAGTAATATTGAAATAGATTTTAATCATACATTGTTTACTGATCCTGGAGATATTAGCTTAATATTTAATGATTTTTTTAACACCTATGTAACCTCATCAATACTTCCTCACCTGGCACAAAATAGCAAAACACTTGTCAACAAGCCAATTCAACAAGCCTCCCAAACTAAATTTAGGTTAAAACCAGTCACAGATAGTGCAGTTTTAAAAATTATCAGTTCCTTTGATAACAAACTTTCAACTGGTTTTGATGAGATACCATGACAATATTAAAGCATGCTTACTATTAGTTACTATTTTTAGTTAGTGAAACCGCTTGTGCATTTAATTAACTCATCTTTTGTTATTGAATTATTTCCTTCTAAATTAAAAATTGCTCAAGTTATTCCTCTTTATAAAAACAATGATTCTAAAAAAATAACCAATTACCGTCCTCTTTTGCTATTACCTACCATTTCAAAAATATATGAGAAAGCAGTTCACATACAACTGACGAATTATCTGGAAACGTTTTCTTTACATGATAATAATCAGCATGGCTTCAGATCAGGAAGATCAGTTACAACTGCAGCAATAGAATCAGTAATAAACTCTCTTGACAAAGGTGAAACAACAGTTGGCATATTTTTAGACTTAAGTAAGGCTTTTGACAACTAGTGTGTCACATACAATTTTTTTAGATAAAATCAGAAGTCTGGGCATTAATGGCATTTTGTTTGAATGGTTTAGATTGTACATGTCTAATAGATATCAATACGTTGAAATTAAAAATTTGACAAATAACAGGGTAATCTCAAGATCTTCTCCTCTTACAGAGATTCACCATGGGGTACCCCAAGGGTCTATTTTGGGACCGATCTTATTTCTCATTTATATTAGGGATCTGTCAATTCCATTTTCAACTAGTTTACACAGTAGTAATATCTGCCTGTATGCTGATGATGTTACTTTTAAAATCAGCAATTCATCTTTATCAAATTTAGAAAATCACTGTTCTGATACTTTAAATATACTAAATACTTTTTTAAATTCTCATCAGCTCTTGTTAAATTTAAGCAAAAGTAATTTTATAGTTTTTACAACAGGAAAAAGAGAACAAATTGTACAGCCTGTAAGGAAGAAATCACCACAACAAGGTTTTTAGGATTAATTGTAGATAAAAATCTTACATGGAATAAGCATGTTGACCAGGTAGTTAATAGAATGTCAAAATTTTGCTCTCAATAGAAACATTAAATATTCTTTACTTTGCTTTTATCGAATCATCAATATCTTTTGGCATAAGTATTTATGGCTGTACCTCTAAGCAAAACCTGGATAGAATTCTTTTTCATCAAAAAAGTGCAATCAGAATTATGTTAAATTTAGAATGGGATACTTCCGCTCGTCAATATTTTTCAAAATTGGGAATAATGACTGTGTATAGTATTTATGTTTTTCATACAATTTTACACACAAAAAAACTTTCTAATGCTAATTTGGTCCCTAAACTTGGTGATAGTCATAATTATTTTACCCGGAACAGAAATGAAATTGCTGTCAGTGTCCATAACTTGGACCTCTTTAATAAAAAAACCACCTGTGCAGGGAAAAGGTTTTTGGACAAACTCCCAGCTGAGGTGAAGAATATTGATAATATTCCCACATTTAAAAATAAACTTAAACATTTCTTAACTGATAAAACACTTTATGGTTTCAATGAATTGTAGGTTAGTTTGATTTAGTTTTAAGCCTAGTGACGCCATTCAATATATGCGACTGTATACCATATGAATAAAGATATTTTTCCATTTCATTTCATAGTTATGTGTGAAGTTAAAGACAATTTGATAATACAATATTCAACCTTTATCAACTTAACTTTGCCTGGGAATCAAAATTACCTGCAATTAGTTGCTTAGTAAATTGCAGATGCTACAGTTAAAGTATTTCAATTTTTTTCTTTTACAGCTTTCACACAGACAAATTACACTTTAAACACTAGAGATCAAGGGGATATAAGTGAGAGTTTGAAGTCCTATTTCAATGAGGTAAGATTATTTCAGGTCTTTTAGTGTGAAAAATAAAATAGTCACTAAGGTATGAAGTATTATGGTAAAGATTTTATTCCAAGCATGTTCTATAATGGTCTATATTAGATCATTACGATTCTCACACACTCAATGCGACAAACTCCTGATATATATAGAATATCTCATGCTCTTGCCAAGGGCTGAAGAAGGTTTATAGGTTACCTTTGAACCTCTGTTGAACCTTCAGCCAACAAAAGTTTCCAGAAAAGAGTGAACAATTTTTAGTCTGCAAGTTTGCTGTGTAACGTTGATTTTTATTCACAAAATCGGACAGACATTTAAAAAAATATTAATTAAATTGATACTCTTCCAGCTTTAACAATTTAATAAAATAACAAGAGAAATACAGGTATTCCAATGATATCCGACAATAAATAAGCCTATGTCCAAATGCATTTTTGTCTTAATTTTCAGATGCCAGAAGATGAAAATCATTACCTTCAAAGCAGTAAAAATATGTCTTATTTCAATACCACATCTGAGTTAAGTTCTCCAATGAGGTAAGACTCAGATCAGTTACTTATAGTTAAATGTTTCCTATACAATGCTGTACATTTTTAAAATCATATAGGCTAAAATGTTGAATTCATTTATTAATTTTACAAATTAAAACTATCTTCTCAGAGAATATGATCTTATTTTGGAATTGGTGATACTGTTGCAGTAAACTATCTATAGTTGTTCGTTTACGACTCTTCCTTAGATGTCTCCTTTTTAAAATGGAAAATCAGAATGGTTTATTAAAAAGTGTTATTGACTGTGTGTCCTGCCAATAAGTCATCATAGTAAATTATCCTCAACTACCTTAATAAAAATGACAATTGGGTTCAGATTGTTCGGATCAATCTTAATCCTAAATTAACTAGTAATCCTTTGGATTTGAAGTCTTACTATGATGACGTCTGTTATAGGCCTACTACAGCTTCTTCTTAAAAGGGAAATCTGCCTCAGTAAATTGTTCTTTAACTTGTACATAGTGATTGAGATGGATTGTAAGTTTTTCTTACACATTCTTGATATAAGGAGTTTCTGTGCCATATTTTCTTCCTTGTGCCATAAATCTTTCTATGGCCTATTTATCAATTTTAGCAAACTGTAGGATTACGTTCATAGGAAAAAGATTTGGTATAAAATGGAAAGCTTTGGAATCCCAAATAAACTAATAAAATTAGCTACTAATATGTTAATGGCTCTAAGAGCAAGGTTAAAATAGAAAATGACTACTCACCATCCTTTGACATAAAAACAGGAGTTAGGCAGGGAGATGTTATATCACCTACACTCTTCAATATAGCTCTTGAGGGAGCCCTTAAAGAGCTGAGGAATACAGAATTTGGTATGAGAATTGGAAAGAAGATAAGCGTGCTCGCCTTTGCAGATGATGTAGTACTGCTTGCAGAGACCAGAGAAGAACTCCAGGAAATGTTTGAAATCCTTAAAAGAGAAACAAGAGCAGTGGGCCTAAAAATAAATGACAACAAAACTAAACTTGTCAGATTTGGAAGGGGAGCAGAGAAGGAGGAGAAAATAACAGAAATAGAACAATATTATGAACAAGTTGAGTCTTTTAAATATTTAGGAGTTATTGTCAGCTCATAAAGTGAGGAACACATAGAAATAAAGAACAGAATAAACCTAGCCAGTAAAAGTATGTAAGCTCTAAACAAATTATTATCATAAAGATAATTGTCTCATTACACTAAACTTAAAATCTACAAAACTATCATAAGACCTGTCTTTCTTTATGGTTCTGAAACCTGGGTTATTATGGATAAAAAAAAACAGATAAAAAACTAATTACTTTTGAAAACAAAGTCCTGCGAAAAATCGATAGCCCTACTATAGAAGGAGACGTATGGAGAATTAAGCATTATCATGGAGAATTAAGCATTATCAGGAACTAAGAGATCTGTTTAAGAACCCTGATATAATCGCAGAGGCTAAAAGAAGTTGAAGCTTCGCTGGACGGGCCACATCATTAGAAGAGAGGAAACAAGCACATTGGATAAAATATGGAAAAGTGATCCACTAGGAAGAAGACCACGAGGGAGACCGAAGAAACGCTTGAAGTAAAGAAAGATATGCCCAGGATGGAAGTCAATGAAGATACCGCAAGAGACAGGACGTGGTGGAGGCAGTGTGTTGGTGAAGCCAAGTACTAATTGGGGTACAAATGGCCATGGTAGTAAGAGTAAGTAAGTAAGTATTTTCTTTCTAGTAACACAACTCCAGGCATTACACAAAACAGATATATGATGGCCTTATATTGAGTATTGAGATTAAAACTCTCTTATATTAATACCTTTCTTTTACGTTAAGACATATACTCAGACATACTCAAATAGCTTAAATGTAGGTTTTGTTTCAGCCACATGTGCAGCAAACTAAACGATTCCCAGGAAACGCCAGTCACAAACAAGAACTTGGTTAGGAAGCTGAGTCTAAGGTCTAAAACAATCATATGTTCCGCCTTAGAGAAAAGTAAAGATATAGTCTTACCTAGGAAGATATTATCAAGGCACAAAAGTATGGAAGAGAAACGTACTTTCTCAAACACTTTTTCTCTCATTCCTCAACACAAGACGCCGCCTCCTGTAACGGGAAGAGTTCTATACAATCCGTTTGAGGTGGACCTGCCAAACAGACTCAGCAAGACAATTTTTAGTCCAGATGTCTTTGATAATGTTGTCAGCCCAAGCCAGGTAATTATTGAACTCATTTGTTAAAATTATTATCCACCCATGAATTTTGAAGTGCAACATGTATTGTTAGTAGAACATTGATATCTATAAATCTTAGCCTATCTAGAAGTATCATAAAATATCTAGAACTTTTATTCTAAAACCACTGTCTTTTAGAATCAGTTTGGTTGACATTATTATTTGTCCCACTTACTAAACATGGGGAGTACAAATATTGTCACTAAACAGCTAACAGACTATGACGTATGAGAGTGTTGTAAAATTAGTTAGACGTTTACCTTTTTTACAAATACTTGCTGATTCGGTGCAAAATCAGTCCCAAGTGCTTTACATTTTATGGTTTAAAAATCATTGAAACTTTTATGATTTTTCCATAAAATTGAATAGCATAAGTAGTTTAGGATGTTAAATTTTAATTTAAAGCTAATGGGGGAAGTATGTATCAGTTTGTTGATACCGTTTATTCATGTTTTGTTTAGGACTCGGAAGATTTGAGGTGGACCATTGAAGACATTTCCTCCATTAATCCTGTTCCTATTGACGAAGATTTCTCAATCCCATCAGACGACGAGGATCCGGAGAGGGAGAGCCGAGTTCAACAAGAAATTGATAGGTATTCAGAAAAATGTATCGCAAAATTTAATACAAAACTTTTAGGTGGAAAACAGGGAGTAAGGTACAGAGGAATCTTAAGGCGTCCGCTAACCTACACTCGTATCAAACCCTGCAGTCTGGGCTTGTCTTTGGCCAGCCTCCCATGTTGGTAAATTTTGTAAATTTAAATATTTCTTTGTGTGTTTTTTATGTATAAACAGTATTTTTGACAACAACAACAGTTGAATGATTATGTTTGACGATTGCCGAGACAAAGGTTTTGAAAGTGTGGTTGAAACCCCTGAAACGAGTCGTCCACGACAAAGTCAAGTCAATAATTTATTTTCACAAAATGTTTACAGATCCAGCATAGCTGGGAAACAGGTGAAATAGTCATATAGGCCTACATAAAACTATAACTAAAAATATGCTAAGAAATCAAATAAATACATCATTTAAAAAATCATTTACTTTGTAATACACTCTTGTCAAGCAACAATTTGGTAACTTCTTTTTTGTATTTAAAAAAAGATTGTAATGATGAAACACGTTCCCTACCGACCCACTGCTCAGTCACACTGCTCTGTAATTTGCTGTGTATTTTGAGGGATGAGTACAGTTGGTAGCTAATGTGTTAATATTTTCAGGCAGTTTCTTATAACATTTTTTCCTTAAATATTGTGGAAGGGTTTCAAGTGAGGTAAGTCTATGAATGGACAGTTGTAAATCATTTCGGTGTCGTGTTAAATAATTACGGCTATGGTTTTCATTCATAAAAGATTCAATATTTTTTTTATCAAGATTAATGTTTGTGCAGGATATAAATTGACGGAAGCGTTAATATTTTCAAATTCTCTGAATTATAGGATTGATTGACGACAGGTCATTAACCTTATTTATGTGTACAGAAGTAACTTGCTTATGGGACAGTCGTGCGTATTCAGTAGTATGTTGTAAAATTTGTCTTAATAATGTTATACAAATGGAGAATAAAATAGAATACTTATTGATGGCTTGTTCAGAAAATGGTTTATTTCATTGTAGGCGTTTAAAATTTAACCACAACAAATAATTGTGTGTACTTCTTATCACTAAACTTTAATACTCTTTACAAATATTGTTATTCATATCCGGCGTGGGTCTAGGTGTAAATTTACCATAATTTCATAAAGCATTTTTAAGTGTGCACTGTGTATGATTACTATAAAGGATGTGTTTTTTAAAGCTATCTTAGTTTTACGGTTTTTTTTTATCAGCAAAGCTATATTCTGTAATAAAGTGTGTCAATAGTGTTACAATTCTCAACACTGTTAATTAGACTATAGACTCTTCATTTAATTTTCATTGACTTTTCAGGTATTTTAATGAAACACATGTTGTGTTAAGTCCTGATGATATACCTAAATCTACTAGTATTGTTGAAATTTTGAAAAATAACTATCATACGGGAGCAGCAGCCTCCACACCAAGAAAAGTTAATGTAAACAAATCAATGAATTTGAAAACAAGTAAGTCAGCTAAATTGTTCAATGTTTTGTTTGGAGTGAAATGATTTATTGTTTACCCTCAAAAATAGTCTTTGCTGATATAAAATGGCTTTTTAAGAGACCAAACCAAGTTATGGTACGTTTTAGCTCAAAATTTTAATTTAATTATCTTCAATACATACAGTCAAAGGATTCCAAAATCTCATTTTCTGATGTGACAAAAGTGTGAGAAATATCATCATTGTTATCTTGTCTGTTAAGTTTACTGTTAGATCAGACTGAAATAAAAATTGGCGATTTCGTTTTCGCTTTTTCTATGAACTATTTAAAAATAGTTACACAACTTTGTGACATAGTTTAATTTATGATTTTGATTTTAAAGTTATCATTGCAACCAAGATTAATAATTTTGTGGTGGATTTTTGTTTCCAGGTGCCACACAAACAAATTTATCGTTACCTGAAAATTTACCATTAGAATTAGAAGACAGTTTGAGATCATATTTCAAGGTATGTACATTCTGAAATTAAGTTATAGGTTAGCGTTAAACTTATTCATTTAGATATAAGTTTATCTGTTATACAAGTTTGTAAGCTAACACTGATTGCGAAAAACAATCCATTTTAAGCAGTTAGACAATCACCTTATTTGGCACCTCTAAGCGAGTCTTGATAAAAATACCAAAAAGTATTAATACTCACAATGTAGTTTGCTTAGCCTATACATGATCGTAAAAGGTGCAAAAAGATTATTTGAAAGATAATTTTTTGACAAACTTTTATAATTATGTGTATTATATATTATAGTTTCTCCGTAGTATTGCCAATACTATTCACACACTTTTAACAAAAAATGAACTGAAGTGTGTGAATAGTTTATTTTTTATTATATATTAGAAATTTGTGAGCTTTGAATTTTTTAGAGGTCACTTTTAATGTTTTATGAAATGGAGCTGTGAATGATTGTGGAAGAAGTACAATTTTAACTCTAATCATATTAACTGCATAAATGTAATAAAACAATAAAAGATATTTTTATTTTCTTCAGTAAAATTTTGCCTTTGACAACTTTTTAGGCCACAAGTGGAAAAAAAATTATTAAAATCTTCTATTTTATAGTATTTTGAGGCAGACGAGTTCAACCTAAGTCAGTGCAATCTTAGACGCAAATTATTCTTCCACACTGAAGATGAACCTCCGTCACCTGTGAGGTAAGTGATGTATTTTTATTTGTTAAAAATTGTGATAAAATCTATTTTTGCCACACTAGACAGTAAGTAGCTGGTTTTTGTACACTTTGTTATTTAATATTTTGTCCTTTAATACTTTGTCCCATGAGGGCCTTTGTCAAAAGTAGAGGAAGAGAATCTGTACTTCTTCAAAAGTATGCTAGCTGTTATCCTCTTTATTCTGCAATTCAAAATCATAGCCTAGAGCCTTCCCTTGAACAAAAGAAGATGTATCGTCATTAGCATTGGCCATTGTACTAAAGTAGACATCTCACCTATATCGATCAGTCGTTGCCATTTTTTTTATTCAAAAAGAACCTGTAAGGACAAAATTATGTCTAATAACACTTCTAATAATATATTTACACTTATACTGTTGACTCACAAGACGGTAAATACATAGGCTATAAAAGATGGCAAGTGGTGATCGATATATCTATTAGTCACTCAAATCATAACCAGACCCAATAGGCGAATCTTTACCATCTTTTATATTTATTTACCGTCTTGTGAGTCAACAATATATACTATTACAAGTGTTATTAGACATATTTTTGTACTTTCAGGTAATTTAATAACACATACGATGAAGAAGTTATTGAAAAAGAACGTAGTTGTGTGCAACGTAGTTCTACCTTATTTTTTTGTTATCTACTGACATAGTTGATGTGACATAATACATGTTTGTTTTAGCATCCTATAGCTTACAATAATAAGTCATCGTAGACTTGTTTGAAAAATTTGCATACGTGGCAGAAATAAGTAATTTACATCAGTTCCATTTGTCAGTGGATCACTTCAACTATGTCCATTTTGATTTTAAAAATTGTGACAACTACAACAATGGAGATGGAGTATCTAGTTCTATCAGTAGGCAAAAGGTATTAGTGATGTAAACAAGTGTATGCATACTATAGGCTTGTAAACAATATTATCTAAAACGCTAAAACTAATACACTTATTTTACAGGTTCGAAATGAATTCTAGTCCTTTAACCAAAGACGTGTGGAAAGCTGGGTCGTCACCTCTGTCCAATGACAATGTAAGTTTGGACACATCAACCCTTCAATCTATTTCTCTTGGGCTAAAGCGGATCAAATAAACATTTACTGTAATTTATTTATATCTGTTTGAACTATGACTGCATATATCTTCCAGCTTTATTCTAGCATTTAAGATGACTTTTGGTATTGATGAGTTTGTTTGTCAGATGTTCCCTGGCAAAATATTGGGCCTGTCAAATATACATTTGAGATAAAATTACCTTATCCTGTATTAGCTGCGAACTTCAATGGTCTTCTCACCTGCTTGTCTGTTATAGTTCCTGAAATTTTTAACATTGTATTTTGATTTAAGGAATAGTAACATTCATAGAAAACGTTCTTTTGTCTTCGTATCTTTACACCTCTGAGGACAAACAATAATCAAAGCTCCAGTGAATGGTAGCCAAGTGATGCTACCTTCTTTATCTCGCATGTTCTACTAATACTTAATTGGACTAAAAGCCCTTGCATGCTCCATTATGTCTTTTTGTTTACCTAAGTGATAGATACCAAACACATGATACCATACACTCAACTCCCGATTATCCGGGATAAAGTAGAGTTGAGATTTCCCATTCACAGAAACATTTGTTTAATACTATTGAAGAAGAAGTGGTATTAAAATATAACAGTACTAAACTATGGTAGTTAATATTATTTATACAGTAGAACCTTGATAACAAGACTCTCATGGGGATTATTAAATAAAACTTTTTATCAAGGTTGATTTCTTATCGAGGTTTGCAATAACAAGTGATTAGGGGTAAAATAAATTCTAGGGGATTTAAAAATTACACTTGTTATCAAGGGTCTTGTTATCAAGGTTTCACTGTATGACATAAAAACACCTCAACATTGTATTTGATAGGAGTCACAAAGAATAACACACGTATTTGAACACAATGACACATGTAAATACAAAGAATATGCATAGTCTTTAAGATCAAATAAAATACAAGAAACAAACTACTGTCAATAAACTTTTCCCTCAAAATAATCTGTAACATCTGTGTTTTTTAACAAAGAAACATCTCTTTTTGATTATACTTTCATGTTTTGTAAGATAGTTTTGTCTGCAAGTGGAGCATTTTATTACAAATGTACCAGGGGAGATAACAGGAGAGGGGTCTATGATGTTGAGTGGGTGGCTGGAGACAGTGATTTATGGTTTCTTTATATCCTACTGTGCTTCTTCAGAGAAAAAGACTCTGCCAATAACATTTACTTACAGTTTGATAAAAAAACATTCACTTGTGTTGGGAATTACGGCCGTGTCTGTCTGCATTTAATTTTACTTATTGTTCCTGGAACGTGTCCATTGCGCCGCAATACGGTTAATCCAATTACAGTTAGTCAGGATGGTTGAATGTATCGTGTGACCACAGATAATAGCATCGTGTAGGCTTTCCAACAAGCCTACCCCAACCACTCTACGATCTGTCGCCGAACTGAACAGTGGGCTGCATAAAATAGATCGTTTTTTTGCCACACCCTGTATCAGCTACAGCTTTGTTCTCAATTAACCTCAAACATGTTATTAAGCTATACCCCTAGAAAGATATTGTGGGTAAAAGTGTTATTTTACAAACTTTACTTTTTATAGTCTGGTTGTAAAATTAAAATTATTATTCTTCATTCACAGAGAGCAAGACACTTTACTCCTTTGGGCAAACAACAGGAGTTTTCCTCCCCTGAAATGTCGCCTGTCGTCGACAACTTTACTTCCAACGTGAAAAAACATTGTTTGGTGTCCTGCAAGAAAACTCTACATAACATCTTTATTGGTAAACTATTTGTCCTAGCCTATGTTGATAAAGTCTTATGATTACAAAAATGCAATACATTAAATGTTGGGTAATAGCATAGCCTCTTCTAGTACAAGAGTGTTGCTGTTGGTGGTCCAAATTAATCCTGATCATTGACGTTCTAGTACATGATAACTTTTATTAAGTGAACTCTATATATTAGATCAACCAATTATTTATACGCTTTCAAACTTTATTCCAGCTTGCTACAACACACAAAATTGCTTAACATTGTCTATAGTTATTAAGCAAACTGATAATTTATTCGTAACGCTTTTTAAAGGAAATTCTAATGAAACGAAGACAGTGAGGCGTAGAGAGTCGGTAAACTCTACAGCTGCAACTGGAAGTGATATAGACTCTTCGTCTCAACCGGCAAGTCAAGACACGGGCTACCACACAGACGACAGCGGCAACTCACACTTGCACTTCTCTACACCAACACGTACACAGCCTGCGAGTTAACTGTCTGTGTGATTAATACACTTTACACTTTATACACTTTAGTAAGTATTTGACAGTCTGCAGATTTTGCAGTTTATTATACAATATGTTATAATGTTGTACTTGTGTTTTTTCATGTAATAACCTGCAGATTTTGTAGTTTATTATACATTATGTGATAATATTGCACTTGCCCTATGTTACAAGTGATAAATGTTTACAACTATGTCGTTTAAAGGTTTTATATATTTGTATATCCATTTTAAAACTTAATATGTGTATAAGGGTGTAACATAGAGCACAAGGGCCTAGGTTTTTAGGTTTTATGTTTTTATCAACATTTTGTCAAAGATTGATTTATCTTTTTCTTTAATTAATATCATATTTTTAATGCTCTCTCCACTTTTGCAGTAAGGAGTTTCACAATTACTTTTCAACCTGTATATTAGCTTTGTTTATTATCGTTACATTTTTTTAAACTATACCCCAAAACTAGTTTTTTATTTTTTTCAACCTACTGCAGCAAAACCAGCTGTTTTCAATGCGAGGCTACGATTGCTTCTTTTTCTCTCTATGGTCTCAAAACAAGAATTACACCATTTTTGGAGCTAATTTATAAAGGTAAACCACTTACAAAAGTTACATTTTGTGAATTATTTAGCCAAAAGAATGGTGCAGTATGGCATAAAATATAGTTTGTCACACAGGCCTAATGTGTATTTTCGACACTCGCACATTTTTTTATTAGTTCAACTTAAGCTCTTGTCAAAGCGAGTCACTTTAGGTTCTAGTGGTGAAATATACTATTTTGATGATTTGGTGATTAAAACATGCTATTAAACAGTCAACTGCTAGTTTCTCAATAAATAGGTCCTTGTGAACTTAGGTAGTGTTTGTAAAAAACAAGTTATCAATTTTGTTTTACTGTGTTATGCTCAAACTTGTTTGTATATTTACGTTTTTTTTTGTGCCTGAAAAGAGAGTTTGTACTTTATTCTTTTGGTTGGTTAGTAAAACCATTTTCTTATACTACTTACTGTTTCTTAGGCTGTACAGTAGTTAGGACTTAATCATGTTTTAGTTGTTTAGAAAAAAAAATTATAAACAAACATGGCTCAAAAAATCTTTGTCAAAGTACCAACTTACATTATACAAAATAAGACTTGCTACAGTACAACCCCGCTAATCAGTCAAATACGGGACTGGGACCATGGTTGTACCAGTGAAAAGGTTGTATTATCCAAGGAGCATATTAAATGACCAAATTTATTGTTTAACTGACATTTGTCGATCACACGTGATCAAGGAAGACAATCATGATGTCCTCGTTGTTCAATATTTTGCATGATCGCAGGAAACGATGATGTTTCCTTTACTACAGTAGATATTGAGGAATTTGCTGTGATCGCAGATTTTCCTCTAATAACGGAGTTTCCGTGATTGTTGAAGACGATGATGATATCCTTGATTTTGGGTGATGAATGATATTTTGCCACGATCGCAGAGGATGATAAATGTTCCTGTGATTGCGGAAACGATGGTCCATCATCAAGGGTGATAAACAAATGTTTTCCAGAAGTGTAGTAGATTGTGATGATCCCCAAATGACTTTGAGAAATGGTCACGAAATATCATGGTAGCTGTGTTAGTTACTACTACTACTGCTGTGCCATAACATTGTGACGGATTAGGCGATGGCACGGTCGGAATAGCGTGGCTCTACTGTACCACCATGTTCATTAACCTGCTGTACTCATATATTGAGTTTGAATTGAGTATTTTATTTTGGTGGAGTAATACATTTTGCATCTAAGTTAAGATAGCAGTTTGTTTATTAGCTAACCAATAAAGAAAAACCCTTGGGTGCTATTCATGTACATAATCCTTGTATTTAAAATTAATTAGCTTAATAAATGGTACAGTCTGTTAACAAATATAGTTCTTAAACGTGGCTAAAGTGTCTTTTCAACAATAGCACATTTTTCAACTTAGCTTTGTCTCGGTGATTGGACTTAAGCTCACTTTGTGCCTTAGGGATGAAGTATACAATTTTTACCTTACATAAACTAGTTTATTAGGTTTTACAAGGTTTTACTTTTCTGATCTTTTTCCTCTCATCTGACTCTAGCTTTATGCTCCTCTTACTCCCCGACCTGTTTTATCTTCCAACCAAGGTTTGGCTTTAACTTTGAATGGTACAAATATACTTCCCGTTCCCATAATATTGAAAATCTGAAAGGAACTTGTTTTTTTTTTTTTTTTAATTTACTTTAATACTTTTCAATGAAATGATGACCATACAAAGTAGGTATTTTAAGTATTTCATGTTAGGTACTTTTATCAACAATAGGTTTTTTTCTTTTAATTTAGGGTTGATTTTATGATTTGTGCAAAACCAAGTTGTAAAACCAGAGGACGAGCTGTTGTTTATAATTAATTAGACGGTTTTATTTGGTTATTAAACTTGTTTTAAAATAACAAGAAACAAATAGTTTACAAAAACACACCCTCAACATGAACTGTAACTATAATTTAAATTGTCTTCAGCTGATTCATAAGGGTGACAAACATTCATTAGGGAGTTTGTCAGCTTTGCCATTAGACACATAACAATGCTTCAATATATTTCCACCCAAAACTGAAACTTGAAAATTTTAATAAAAATGATGCTCCATATGTATAGGGGGAATAATATACAGACTGTCCCAAAAGTCCCGGACCGGTTTAGTATTTTCTAAACAACAACAGATAAATCAATAAGATTTGGTACACCACACCTAAAAATCTACTTTTTTAAGGAAATATCAATTTTCTGTCACATCATGGGGACGTCCCGCAAGGAGTCAGAAGGAAATCTTAAATAGAAGCATAGGTTGACATGTACATCAAATTAAAGGTCTTTACTAGCAGAATATAATGCCACAAATTTGAACTCGAACGGACAACCAAGTCAAGAATGACAGTGGTTTAAAGATTCATTTAATTTGCATTTGGGGCACAGCCCTAGGAATCGGAAAAAAATTGTTAACGTAAGCATAGGTCGATATGCACATCAAATTAAAGGTCTTCACTAGTAGATTACAATGCCGTAAATTCAAGCTCAAAAGAACGCCTGAGTAAAAAATGGTAGTCGTTCAAAGATTCAAAATGGCAGGTTCAAGAAATCTTTATTTTTTACTCAGGCGTTCTTTTGAGCTTGAATTTACGGCATTGTAATTTACTAGTAAAGGTCTTTAATTTGATGTGCATGTCAACCTATGCTTCTATTTAAGATTTCCTTTTGACTCCTTGCGGGACGTCCCCATGATATGTCAGAAAATTGATAGTTCCTTAAAAAAGTAGATTTTTAAGTGTGGTGTTGATGTGCAAAATCTTATTGATTTATCTGTTGTCGTTTAGAAAATATTAAACCGGTCCGGGACTTTTGGGACAGTCTGTATAATTATTTCAATAACACACTGTGTTGTTTATTCATCTAATATCTACATTAATTTGAAAAGAAAATTAGCTACAGCAGGTTTATTTTGATGGGATGTTTATGAAATTTTAATAATGTATTTTGCCATGTTCTCGCAAGATTTTTGTAAAATCTTTACTTAAAAATTAAGATTTGATTTTTACTTTAAGTTTTTTAATCATCCAGCTCTGTCATTTAACTGTAACTTGACATCTCAAAACATATACCCTCAGATGTATTTAATGTGCTATGATATGTTATGTATTTTGTTATATCATTGAACAACTGTCAGTTTATGTGTGTAAAATCTAATGTTAGCTTAAGCACACTTTAGATTTGATATTACTTAATTTGTATCAAGAGTTCAAAGAGGAAGAAGAAACTGAAATATTGAAAACTGAAACCTGATTTATTTCACTAGAGATTTATTTTAAAATTATAAATAAATGTATATACAATTTTGTATTTGATGGTTTCATTGTTTTCACCTTTTTTTGGACATCATTGTAATTTATTCCTCATTGCTTAAATATACTGGCTGGATTATAAATTAGTTTTACCCCCATGTTTCTTAAAAAGTGTGGATTTTTATCTTACAATTATTATTTTTGACTATCTTTGGTTTACTTTGCCTAACAGAGTTCATTCAATTTTTAGCCCCAACTTTGATTTTTGCCTAGTAAAAATGGTTTTATAGAGGACCTGGACCAGGGCTTTTATTTTCAACATTTGGAGAAGGGAACTTATTTAAATCCCAATAATAATTTAAAAGATAACTCCTGAAATCCTACAAAATAAGTTAAAGCATATCTACTCTTTTTACAAAAATCTAAACACTTCATATTTATTGTTGTTGTATGGACAGTATAGATTTTCACTGAGTAAAGAATTATTGCAAATGTAAGTCAAGGACAAACTGTACAAATAGCAAGAGGTTTTCCAATTGTAAATCTCAACTAATGGATTATCATTTATCATTACAAACAGTAAATTACCTGTGCTCAGTTTAATGTCTTGAAAAGTTGTTTTGAATTGGATACTCGACTTATTATTCCCTGAACTGTTAAAAACTTTAATGCAGTTATCCGATGTGGTAAGCAAGATATGTTTTTCTTTGAAGAAACAGCGGAGATAATGTTGATTTGACGGGTCGATTTCAGCTTCAATCACTTTTTCACCCTGTATATTCCAAACTTTGAATGGTCCAAAATAAATACCCCGTAAACGATAAGAGGCGTCACAACACGCTATGAAGTTGTCACCAACCCAAACGTTGGGATCGTTAGTTATACCGGTGCTGGTGAAACATTTCAAATCCAACACCCATTTGGATTGAGATATGTCGTACGTTTTGATTCTATATCCATCATTGAATGTAACTGCCGATATAACAATGTTATCATTGTGTAATATTTTTTCAATGATGAATTTCACATCTTCTGGTAACGGCAAAGTAGTATACTTGTTGTTACTTAAATAGTGGATTTTTATGAGCTTCTTTTTTGATTGAAACATCACAAAATATTTATTTGATATCCCAATCACATCTAAAGTTTCCTCGATTGTCGCACAAACATCAAACTGATTTGATTCCCAGTTATGTCGGTACAATGTGGTTTGTTGTTCCGTCTGAGTAAAAACAAATTCATCCTTAAAGTACATTGTGGGCGATGATATGCTCTGGACTAATTCAAAACTGCCTCCGCCTTTTAAACTGTAAACATTGTATGCATCGTCTCTCACAACTATCGAGGATGAATAAACGTGCTCCAGTTTCCCAACAGGAGGCTCACAACAGTGATCAACCTTACCGAGTCTTTTGTTCATACCTATCTCAAAACACTCAAACCATTCCAAGCGGTTGTAAACTTTAAGAAAATCTTCGCCTAAACATATTTTTCTCCAGAAATGTTCAGAAAGTAAATGGTGATTTTTGTCAAATGCTTGAAAGAAGTTGTATACGTCTATAACAGTCAAGTATAAAAGAATCTCTTCCACAAGTTCCACCGGTAGCACTTCAATCATTGGTTTTGTCGGTAGCTCAAAACCTATCAAAACAAAAGCTTCATTTACAATGATATCATATTTCTGAATTCACTTTCAACTGAGTTTATCCACTGACATAACCATGTCAACATTTTGGGGCGAAAGTGTTAAGTGTTTGCTATTTAATAAATTGTTAAATTTTATTAATTTCTTAGGAATTTTAAATAATAAATGTAAACTTTTAAAATAACAGTGTCATTTTCCAATGAGTGCTCTCTTTTAATGAGGATTTTACATGCTCCATGTATTACAAGTTTGATCTTAAAAAACACATTGCTCCAAAAATTACAGTGCAAACACACTTTTTTCTCCATATTTTAAATTTGAAATTCAGGTCAAAAACTTCCCAATGATAAAATCTAAGGTAAAATGTAACTTGTTCATAATAGCTTTGCAGACAAAAACAATCTGTTTTCTCTGTATTACCATTTAAAGTAGTTACAAAAATCAATAGACATTTGGTTGACGATCAATTTTATTCTTCAAACTAACTTGATTCTTAAATATTTGAAAAGGGAAATTACATATAATTATTTTGCATCCTGTTAATGGGCTCACCCACAAGAATTTATATTACTTGCCTTTATGAACGAACCGTAGTTTACTTTTGGTAAATCACGCCGCTGCTTGGAACCCTTCGACTTATAAAAACAAGAGTGAAAATAAAGTGTTTTTAATGCAACTTAAAATAACCTATCAAATCAAACACGTCTTTGGGAGTGTTATTTTTATTTCTGAGATCGAATTGCGTGCACAGGAACAATAAAACTAAAATAAACTCGATAGTTGTGTGGTTTGAAATATCGCTAAGATCGATAGATAGATATTTCGGAAGGTATTTTAAAAACAATGCCTTTTTATCTGTATAGTTTTCAATTACTTTCAGTTCAGTGGTAAGTTACTCTTATGAGTATAATTTAATAACCCTGATTTCACCAACCCCAACCCCTCTATAGTGGGAAGTCCCGATTAGATTTTACGTTCTTTTTCTTTACGATATCAATTACTGATAACGATGTTTGTCTTCGATTTGTATCGCAAGACAGAGAAAGTCGGCTTTCGCGAACATCACTGCATCTGCATCTCATTTCATACTTGCGCAATGCGCACCACTCGCACCAGGAAAAGGTTTGCCAATCTAAAATTCTACACTATCATAAATTGTATACTTGGACAAGCCAATTTGTAAATAATAATTCCATTCTAAGAACGAGTAATAAACGCTGTTTTCTTCATAAAATAGTATTATAGCATAGATAAAACATAACCCTTGTGTTGGTTAGTCTATGATTATAGCAAGAGTAGAGTAAGAGAGGCGTAAATTGACGGCTATATATTACACATCCTTACCTTCTTGATCCTTCCCCCTTTTCTGTGTTAGGAATAGGAGAACCCAGTAGGTTTTTAGCATGTAAAACAATGCTATAGTTAAAAGACCATAGCCTGGATTAAGCTTACTTGTGTTAATCAGCCTACTATTATACCGAACAGTTTTCCTCTGCCCTATAAAATAACATTCCAATGTGAAGCAACTTATATTCAGATTGGGGGGGGGGTTATATTCAGATTGATCACATTAATTAGATGGATATCCGATAGTGCTAACTGGATTATCAGAAGGTTGACATTGCGTTTTGTAAAAAGGCAGTAATTTGTTGAGGGTTCAAAACTGGGACCTTTTTACTTGAGCTCTCCGGAGAACTCGTTGCCAGAACTAGTCTGATGGATTATTGCGCCAAAATCAGCTAGTTTACAATATTTTCTTACTTACTCCCAAGGCCATGGATACCCTAGGTGGTAATTTTTATAATAGTAATATACAATATTTACAACTTTAAATTTAAAAACTTGGCTCTAATTAACGAATTGGTATTAATTAATTCTTATATATCTTATTACACTTATATATCTTATTAATTCTCTTATATAATTATCTTAGGGAGTTCAAAAAGACATTTTTAGCACCTTCTTAAAAATTCGGACCCATCTCCCACACACAAGTAGGCAGTGGGTTGACACTCATCGAGCATGGATAAAACTACTCAAGGTGCCGCTAAAACTGCAGTGACGAGGGAAGTCAATGTTTCGGACCTTCCTTGTTTGATGCACTTCTCTCTCTCCTAGGGTGAGCCCCTAGGAGGTAGTCTGACTCTGAACTATCTTTTAGGTGAAATTAATTACGAGCACGTGTTGGTTATACACAAACTGTTACCACCCTGAGGTTCTTGAAGATTGGCCGGCAATGGTCCAGATACCCAGCTGATATTGCAACCCTCCAATCCAATGCCATCTTTTATAAAAGAAGCTCATACTCATCCTCTCCGTCAGCTGAAGAGTGTCCCTACAGTGCCAGTCCATTGGGCGTGCTACAACAACCATAGAGTTGCCGAGTTGCCCTTGATGATTGGGCTTTTAACGTAATTTAAAATTTAAATAAAGGAAATCACAATCGAAACTGGCTTAATCTATATATTAATTAATATAACATGGATGCATTTTTTGTCCTAAGTTTATTCATACGGTGTACACAATTTTTACAATAAATACACATAGTATTGTCATGCTACATTGTCGGTGGGGTTTACATAATATTATTGAAATTGCCCGCTATATGCTGATGAATATCTTCTTAAAATTACATAATTTTGCAAAATTATAGGTCAGCTATAAACATTTAGCGTGCAGTTTTAATAAGGTTTAATAAGGCCGTCTAGATTATATATCGTATGGATGGTGAATATATCCAAATTTGATCCTACAGAAGTTATTGATAGAATTATAGATAAAACAATAGATAAAACATACTCCCTTTAAAACATACTCCCTTAGTGTTGGTTAGTCAATTATGGAACCATTGACTGGGACTGGGGCCAACTACGAAGAATAGAAAATCTATCTCGCAGTCTCATGGAACAAAACCAAGTTGCCGATCTTGTGGTAATAAAGAGACGCAGAAGAAAGGTAAAAACTGGGTATTTACTCAGGGGAGGTATAGAAGAGGCTACGATGACAGCTGAGATCTTCTTATTAGCTGAGGGAACGCCATTACCGTAACAAAACGTTCAACAGCCATCGGCCTCGGTGGTCTATTGGTTAGCGTGCCGGGCTGATATACTGTAGGTCCCGGGTTCGAATCCCGCTGGTAGCTTTAACTTTTTGTCCAAGATTTTTTTATTATCAGCAAGTTTGGTTTGGTTATTACAGTTTAATTTTATTATTAAGTCATTATAAAATTTTAATTGAGCAATTTCTAGTTTTATTTAATAAACAGAATTATTTTTCCGATTACTAAACTTTTGTTATATTATTTCTTTATCAGCAAGTTTGGTTAGTTCGGTTAGGTTATGATAATTTAATTTTATAATTAAAAAATAGTAAAATTGAATTTGAGGCATTTATAATTTTATTTTATGAACAGAACTATTTTTGCGATTAGTAAACCTTCATTGCCAAAGTGCTCTCTACTACAGCGCTGTTCGCGGAGGAATTTTGAACTAAATGCCTCATTTGTACCTCCCCTAAGTCAGACCCTAAAAACTGTCAGCAAGTTGTGCTTCTTCTTCTCGAATCTTGTCATTCTTGATTCTTGACATTTTATCATCATTCTTGTCGTCATTTTGTCACTAAACTAACCTATATAAAGTTTTGAACTGTACTGTAAATCCTAACAAAAAAAGTTATTTACATAGGCCTACTTTCGACTACCTATTCGAATTGTTCAAGTTGATTATTTTTTTACTTATTCATACTTATGAAGAAAAAAAAAATGCTTCAATGAGACTAATTATTAGTTATTAATCTGAACAAATAATCAATAGCACAATATTAGTAAAGAACTGAAGTAAGTAGATATAACCCCACTCCCACTCCCACTCAACTGATAAGTGATAACTAACTTATTAACGACTGTGTAGTGTGTCCTTGGTGATAGATAAAGGCCTTCACAGGTTAGTTTAAGGCATATTCATTGAACTTGTCTCTAGTGTAATTAAACGTGCTTACTGCTCCCTGTGTTCACACTAGCCTAAACATTAGAAACCAGTAATGGTAAATTTATCTTGGTAAGCTTATATTGGTCCAAAATTTAAGTATATTCATCAAACTGTATGTTGGATTTCTTTGTGGGCTAGGCCTAATCATAAACCACACCCTAATAAGTTTTAACATTTGGCTGGATCATTATAAAATAATAAAATTTTCCTGATTTGTATGTAAATTTGAACGAACTAACCAAGTCCAAGACCTATAACTAACTCACATCCATTCTCAACAACGCGAATCAGCCTAGGCCTAGGCTCACCTCTCCTGGCCTATGCTCTCATCTCAGTGAAATGTTACTTTGGCACTTTATTTGCAATAGTAGACTGTTGAAAGACTTTAGGATAAGTTGGGCCTATTATAGACCTATCCTTATTGTTAGGTACTCACGTTCATTGCTGAATAATAAGTGCATGTGGTCCCCTAGGATGGCTAAGGCCCTAAATTATGGAGTTTATTTCCTAAATTAGACGTTTACTACTCTAGTGCTAATACAAAAGTAAAAAAGGGTACTTGAGTATTAAACGGAGGCCACATTTTGTCAGCGCGCTGCGGCGGTTATGTTAGGTTGGGTTATCGTAAATATTATGTGTGTAGGACTTTCCTCGCTTCGTTATGAATCGAACGATACCAGACGAGTTATACTTTCTATTATGATAACCCAACCTAACATAACCGCCGCAGCGCGCTGACAAAATGTGGCCTCCGTTTAATACTCAAGTACCTAAAAAAGATAACTTAGATGTACAAACTGGCGCTGCTCACGGTAACAACTGCCCTCTTCAACGGCTGAGCTTTCTTTGACCATAAGTATTTATGATAGTATGTACGCCTCCGATTATCAACGCGCGCCATGCCGACTCAAGTCGGCCGCACAGTGATCGTGTTAAGACAGCGCCACACACCTAGGTGCGTATTTGAAGCTGAAAAAGAATGTACAAGGCAAGTTTGGAATGTGATCTAGTTTCAAACCATCAAAAGCTAGCTTAAATGTAACCCAGCCAGTTGTATCAGAAAAAGGCTAAATTAACTTATGTTTCCTTAATTTACAATTAATTAAACATTGGTTTTGATCACTTACTTAGTTACCTTAAATGAAATTGTAGCTTTATATCAAAATATAATAGGCCTAGTTATGTTTGTAGGATCTACATTAAACTTTTGAATAAACATCCTTTTCTAAATGTAGAAAGTAATTAAAGAGACATAGGTATGATGTTTTGATTGAGTCCTTTTAGCGAATTTCCCTATATAGAGAAGTAGCTATTACCGTAGGTGGCAGAATCAGAATACAGTACTTTATTCTTGAACATTGAACATAGAGTACAGAATAGGCGTAAAACTTTGTAGAGATTTAAACATAAGACAGTATAAAGTTGTTGGGCTTTGAGGCGCTGTCAGTAGTAATGGTTATTACTGGCACGGTAAAACCTAACTTAGGCCCAGGACCGATTTACTTTTTCATTTTGATGTCCCCAGAGGCCAAAAACACCATTCGGTCAAATTTTGGTATATGTACATATATATATATATATCCGTGAAGACGATAACTTGAGTAATTTTTGTCCGATTTTAATGAAATTTGTTTGAAGTTGTAAGGCGGGATAAACTTGGATGAGTTTGAGAACCAGCATGATCGGACCATGGGTACGGGCATAGATAAAACATACTCCTCAAGGGGTATAGATAAACATATACACTTGAGGTGTAGGCCTATGTTTTATCTATGGTACAGGGTTTTATGGGGTAAAAATTGGTTTTTCTAATTTTTGACCATCAAAACACAAAATTTCCCAATTTCTCTTTAGACCATTTTAAAGAACTTAAAAAGACAAATACTGGTACTTTCCTGTTAAAGGGAACATTCATTATTATCGATGATTGTTTTCTCGATATATCGATATTAACAAATTGAAACATATCAGCTGACAATTACGAAAAATATTGTTCACTATCAACAAACACTAATGAAATGAAACTGTTCTAAAATAAATAACCTAACATAACTAACCAAACTTGCTGTAACATTTAAAAATTCCGCGTTTGTAACTTGCCTTTTATATTCAAACCCAAACGGAATTTTTAAATAGTACAGCAAGTATGGTTGGTTATGTTAGGTTAGCTTAGAGCAGTTTCATTTCTTGTTGTCAATTTGTAATGGATCGGAAAACAAAAACATCGATATATCGAGAAAACAATCATCGATAATAATGAATGTTCCCTTTAACAGGAAAGTACCCAAATACTTTAGTAGTATATTGAAGTATTTTTGCGACGGCAGGTTTGCTGCAGCAGGGGTATTTAATAACATCATATGTTGGATTATAATGCTTAGGGCCTACTAAGGATTAAAATTCTTTGTAAATACATAGTTATTAGCCTATTGCATATTCATTAACATATGTTCTAACCTATATTAAAAATGAGTCCAATCAAACAGAACAATAAACATAGGCCTATTTATTTGTCTATCTTATCATATGCAAATACTAATTAAGGCTTCTAGTTATAACTAACAGTTCCTTGACCCTCGTAGAAAAAAAAACTAGGCCTAATGCAATTTTTTAGTCAATTTGGAAAACATGTGGTAAGTTTACTACCTAGCTGTAGGTTGTGGTTAAGAATAACTTATGTCTACTTTTTCAAAATTATTTCATTAGTTAATTGCTGCTTTTATGTTTTGTGAGATCGCCCTTGGCATTCGATTTATTTTTTATTTTTTGTAAAGGGATGGGTCTAAACCCTGGCCTTGTTGCTTTCTAACACCGACTATTTGTTTGGCATCATCATTAATTGTCTGCCCAGAATTGATCTCACTCGGGATCGAACTAGCAACCTATTTTTTGTGTACTATTGCTACCTCGAAGATAAACAAATGAAAATGTCCAGTTCTTTGAAATATTACGGGTGTTTTTGGAATATTTTGTTTTAATCTCAAAGCACACATTTCGGAGCTGTTGCTGGACTGTTGATGAGTTAGACATTAATCATAAAAATATTATGCTTACCGGGTGGCAGCAAAGCTCAGCGCTGCTAGCTGAAAACCGGTTTTATTTGTCTCAGTTAGTTTTCATGTGAGAGAAAACAGTTATCTAATGCTAACAAAAATATTCATTTTAAAATAGCCTATAGATTTTTGAAAATTGTATTTTTTTGTTTTAGATGGCTGCCAGATTAACTCCAAGTATTCCTCTACCTCTAAACCCAGATGTACTTAAGGAAATTGTAGAAAAAGCAAAAGATTGGGCACTAATGCATGGTGTGTATACCAAAGAGAAATGCTGTGTTTGTAAAAAAGGTTTAGACATTATTTCTTATTTAAAGTCAACTACAAGTGCAATTAAAGGGTCAAATTTCAAACCCATCTGAACTAGTATAATTTTTTGGGACATGGTAGACCTATCCGTTACCAACCCAAGGACATGTTTTTTAATAATAGCCTTTTACAGTGTACAAAAATAGTCTAAAATGCATAGATTTCTCCTGTATATGCAGTTCCAACACTTCACAAAGAAATTGCCAGAATTAAAACTATCACTGATGGATCTGCCATGGTATTGCTGTACACAGATGTTTTCTTTCTTTATAAAACATGTTAAATAGCCTAACCAACTTTTGTTAATATTAGTTAAGTAGGCCTACAATTAATTTGATCTCTGAAGTTTAATGAGTTGTTCTCCAATTCTCCATTGGAAAGTACAGTTTACAAAAATCATAAACTTAAGGAATAAATCTAAGCCCTGAACAGATTTGTGATAATACTAGCCAAATAGGTTTAATTGTTATATTTTATGCTGTCAAAATATATTTTAACCTCTGATTCTAGGTGCGTGTATGAGATCAAAAACTAATTTTTCTGAAGACTCTTTATACTTTGCCCCATTTGCTCTGTTGCCCTCAACATTCCCTACAAGGGAGTATAATCGAGCAGTCGCACTGCAGCCTGTGATAAATGAGTTGATGCACAAGGTGGCGCACGATCACGATTTCCTAGAGGAAAGTCTTAAAAAGTAAGTGTATTAAAGCTGGTTAGCCTAGTTCATTTTATTAGGTTTAGACTACTAATTAGATTACAGTGCTTTTTTTGTATTAGGTAACAAGTAGTTTTCCTGCAAGTCAGATTCACAATCTTAATTCCTTATAATAGGCTAGTTATCTCTAAAGACTAATTGAGACATACAATTTTTGTTTTTGCTAATTTCTCTTAACGGAGGTATCTATTGCGGAAGTCTTTACGATAAAACTTGTATTGTATTTTGTTTGTTTTAGGATCCATAGAAGTAAAAAAAAACTACGTTCAAAATTGTTAATGTCAAAATATATCTTTGTGTTCAAAGGCACAAAAAACACTTGAACGAAATCTAATTTTATGAAATTCTGTTTGAATATATACGGTAATTAAAAACTTTGTTATTATGATTGATTTTTAATTTAAAAACAAATGCATGTCCTCTTGCTTGTATAGCCATGCTTTTGTCTGTACTAGGCCTATAGGTATCATTGAGTATACACGTATAAGAGGGGTCAGAAAATGCTAAAAGTTGTTACCGATTTTGGCAACGTAGTTCAGGCCGCTGACGCTTGGGTCGCGGTAGTCTGTCGGTAGTGCAGTGCGCCTCTGAGGACCTTTTAATCATATAGTATTCAAAATGTATTATGAAGCAATGAAACTAGGAACAAACAAACAAATTTCATCAACAAAAATTACATTTTACAACATACAATGAAAGCAATAATAAAAAACAACCAAACTGCCTTACTGACAAGCCCGAGGTGGAGTAGGCGGGGCCGCTGACGCTACTCTGCAACAGCGCTGCTCAGGTAACGATAACCTCCATTGAGTGGTTACTCTAGTACGTACACTCAATGACCATATTTATCATTTTGTATAAACTATCTCAATTTTTTTTTCCAGTACTATAAAAGTTGATGAGTTCACTGGTGGCTTGTACAAAGTCTACGAAAAAGTGAGAAAGGAAGGTTTTGGTCAGGTGAGTTTGTCAATTTTGATGTATCTGCATGTATTAATGTTATGTGTAATTAATTCATAGAATGCTAATGCTGCCATAATTACTATTATGTGTCTTGCAATACATAATTTACTTACAATTGTTGCATTTGCTATAGTTACTTGCTTTCTCCTGAATGATGTACAAGTATTAAGTGAAATTTCTTTATTCTTCATTTAATCTCTGTCCAGATTTATTTTATTTTAATTTTATCTAATGTGGCAGTCAATCTCAGTTAAAATAGCGCTAATGTTATTAACTCATGTTTCGGCTATGCAATAATTTTGTTAAACATCCTGATCTGAGGGATTTAGCGATAGTCGACTTCTGCATGCTCTTCAATGATTTGGTTTCATTTGAGAAATAATTCTTTCATGAATATTCTGAAATGTCTCTTTCTGTCATTGCACTGTTTGTCGAATACAGAGAGACGTGGTATGTAAAGTTGTGACAAAGATAAGGAGAGCATAACGGATGAAATGGTTAAATTGTGTGATTTCTATTTTTGATGTTTGAGTTTAATTAGAACATGAATTTGAACGGATAGTGTTTTTGGCCTCTGGAGACATCAAAACAAAAAAGTGAATCGGTCCCGGGTCCAGATCTTACCATGAGACCTACGGTAACACAGTAGCTTATTCCATACATGGGAATTCGTTAACAATAAATAAAGATAACGCTAGAGTACTTGAAACAAAGTCACTGGACATAAAAATCATTTTAAAACATTATTCAGTGATACGCTACCTTCTCAGGGGGACAGCACGCTAGCAGTCAGAATAAAATCTTTAAGGTAAGCATACCATATGCACATGCAATTAAACATATTTGTTTGTGAAATACAATGCCGCAAACCTAAACTCCAACAGACAACCGAGTCAAAAATGGCAGCCGTTGAAAGATTTCCTGAATTAACAATTTTAAATCTTTGAACGGCTCCGATTTTTGACTCAGTTGTCTGTTTGAGCTCGGGTACCGTGGTATTGTCTTCTGCTAATGAAGACCTTTAATTTCATGCATATCAAGTTATGCGTACATCTATGATTTTCTTCTGACTTTAAGCGTGCGCCCAAAATTGAGTGGCTTATAAAACCATGTTGTAAATTGTATGTAATACAAAATAAATACAATACAATACGAATACAAAATTGGCATCAGTAGTCCATACAGATGGCATTCACTACTCAAGTCTCCAAAAGTCAATGGTGTGCTCTAGCGGCTCAGTCTTGGACTGGTGAGGGCCGACCTAATGTTGGAGACGTGTAAATGCGAGGTCAGTGTCCGGCCGTCAGGTAGTTGCGGTTGTCGTCACACCAATCCATCTTGTGTCTCGTACTGCTGCTGGAAACAGGTTGAGTTCAATACCATCGCCGCAGGCTTTGGTTGGTTAGGCCCTGCGTCCGGCCTAATCCACAGGTAGACTCAGTGTCTTTGGGCCGCTACGCTTTCTGTGTGAGTGATCGCAGACTGCTAACCGTAGTTTTTGCTTTTTGTTCTGTCAACCCAAATTAACGACTTGCCTATTGTGTTTGTTCAATTGTTGAAGCAGGACCGTTGTGTTTGTCGAAAGCTTTTGAAAGTTTAACCGAGTGGTTGTAAGTGTTTTGGTATTTATTTACCTGTCATTTGCAGCAGTATGTATTTTTAGGTTCATGTATAATCATATAAAGGCAGAAAATTATTTACGATATCGGTGTCAAATAGGAGTTAATTATTAAGAGTTTCTGACTGAATTATTGTTCCTAATATTAGAAATCTCTCAAGTTAAAATGTTTACCTCCTGAGTATTCAACATTGAAGTTAATAATTTTATATATAATGAAACACACTAAAAGAATTGTTGCAATATTAAACAATCTACAGTAAAGTTAACTTAATTATCAACAGACTTTTGATAATCGAAAACCCTGTCAAATAGTCGTTATTAATTGGTCAGGAGCAATAAAATAACAGGCGAGTCGGCAGCGCCACAGACTTTGAGCCCAAGGCAGCAATGTCGTGGGTTCGGTTCCTCTTACCTGCCAATACTTTTTATCAGTACAGTTTGAGTTCACCTTGGTACTGTTTTGGCTAACCCCTTTTGATATTATAGGATATAATCCACACACACGCCTCTGGCCAAGTGGATAGGTAAATACAGTGTAAAAGAGGCCGCTAACCTCTTTTTATTAAACAAGTCAGTTCTATTAACACTATTAACAGTGCTTTGGCCTTAAAAATTCTCTATACAGTTATAAAAAGGCAGGTACCGGAAGGGTAACTTAATTATTATTATTATTTTTTTTTTAAGAGATTTTATTAATTATGTGCTACCGAATGCATATTCGTGAGATTTTGTCAAAGTTATAAAGATTACATATTCTTGATGCATAACTGCTCCCTCCATTTTGTCAAGTATATTTTGTTAAATGCAGGGAACGTTACCTACATCTTTAAATAAAATTTGTTAAAAAAAATTAAAACAATAATAATTTAATTAAAGCTAAACTTTTTGTGTAATGAACTGCCTGTAGGAAATTTAAAAATTTGTATTTTAATATACAATATCTTAAAAGGAATATTGCTAAATATCTTTCTGAAAAAAATAGTGAATAGGTTAACCTGGATGTGTTATGTGAAATCTGTATTTGAATATTCAACATTTGAATGTTGCAGTCTGTCTGTCTGGGTCTTTTACGGTCAGACTATCTCCAACAATCTTACCAAGAAAACATTATTAAACAAGTGGAAGTAAACACAATTGCGTCAAGTTTTGGGGCGATTTCCTCTCATTTGTTTGACTTTCATAGGTATGTTGTGCTGTTAGTCCCTAGCATCATAGATTGTGTCTGTTAAATGTCTTGGATCCTCTCAATGTGAGGGATTAGCGCTGTCACTCTATCACACTAATTTATTGCAACAAAACGGGTAGCTTTGATGCTTTTGGAAAATAGTAGTTTGTAACTAAAATATGCTCAAATTTAATGATCCCCTCCTTGACGGCCAACTCACATCAGCTGTCTGTCGGCAGACGCACGTCTGTGTAAGTGATGTGATTGATACATCCAAATCACATTATAAAACATAACAAAACATAATCATTAGATAAGTACTTCTGTGTTAGGTTAGACAAATGCTATACATAGACATTTACAAATTTGAAGCAAAAAGAATATTTTTCAAACTATTCTTTAGTTACTATCAACATTTTATCAGTAAAGACGTTATAGCAACTATTATTGAGGATTTTGACGACCAATGTGCTGCTAAAGAAATCTCTTAACTAGTCGTACAGTGGCTATTGGTGGAGTGGCTTGCCAGTTGCCTGTACCATCAACTGCAGTTTCCCAGCTGGTAACCGGTAGCGGTCACTAGTGGCCTCGTGTAAGGGCCCTTACTTATTCCATGGCTGTTTGCCACCTCACCGAGGGATTTCATCGTATCCGCTTGCAGATAGATGGACTCGTCTACGAGTCGAAACATGCGGTGTATGTTGACCCATTTATCAAGCAGGGTTGTGATAATTTAATCAGCGTGCAGACGTCTGTCTACCAACATACGGACGACCGGTGTGTGTTGGCCTTTTAATCAAATGTAGCTGAATATGCAGGTTTTCTTGCTATCTTGCAGTAAAATTTTACAGTATTTTTAAGCTACAACAGTTATATAGTAAACTGATTGCCTTCCTGAAATAAAAGTCAAATCTGATTACACTCAATAAAATCAAGCAGTTCTTTAGGATCATGTGATTTAATTATGAATTCAAAAACGATTATGAAGCCTATTTCAATTAATGCCACTTTAAGTTATGTTTGAATAGGCTGATGTTGACTAACTTGAACCTCCAAATTTTACAGTGCACAATGTACTCTCTGGTAAAAATACCAGAGAACAAGCAATAATCGTAGATTGTTCATTAGCTGTAGGCCTAATAATTTTAAAGTTAATTAAATAATAAATAACTGATAAATAAGTAGAAAACACCCGCACACTTAACAAGAAATTCCATGCCTTAAACTAACTTGAATGGCTCCAAAAGAGTATAAAATATATAAACGAGTATGTCTCTTGTTAAAAAGGTCGGCTTAGTCATCAATTGTTATATGTCTGTTATTTCATTTTTAATTCCTTTCTAAAAACAAGAAGCAATGTTTTTTAAGGCTAGTTTTGTTTAAGGAAAGGCTCAGGATTGTGATATTTAGAGAAAAGAAGGAAAGCAGCTAGCTTACCATAGAACATAATCAAGGTATGCCAAAGCATTTATAAAAGACACTCACCCCCGGGGCAAGTTATGTTTGAATAGGCTGATGTTGACTAACTTGAATCTCCAAATTTTACAGTGCACATATTGTAAGCATTTATAATTCATTTATTCAAAATATTGTGTTTTGAAATTAAATGAATAACGTCTTAACTTAAGAGGTGAAGTTAAGACTTGCAAGTCTTCTCTACCTCTTAACCTCTGTTTTGTGGTTTATACTTGTACTATGACCTACATAGACTCCTTCTAAGCTAAGTTGATGCTATCTTCCTTTACTCTAAAAATCACAATTAGCTGTATGTTCTTTAACTGCGGGTAGTTTAGATGAAATTTAGTGCATGATGTTTGGTGTTCCCAAATAATGTTTCCCTCATTCAAGGTTTTGTTAGTAGTGAGATGCTAGTGGTTATTTTATGTCTACATACAGATTTGATTTAAGTGAAAATCTGAGTGACGTTTATGTACAATATTGCAATCTACCAGGATTTTGTTTATTCAAATATTTTTAATAGATAGATACTAAGGATGGTATAGCATGTAGTAGGGGAATAGCATGGTATTCTACAAAATGCTTATTAGTCGTTATGTAGATGATAAACTTTTCTTTGAAAATGTAGCGTCTTCTGTTCTGTAATTTATTTTGTTTATTCGAATTCTACACTAGGAAATTTTTAATGTTTGCTATTTTCAATATGTAGCCTTATCTGTTTTGCAATTTATTTTGCTTATTTATTGTATCTAAATGTTTGCTATTTTGGGTCTTTGTTATTTTTGTAGGTTGAACTTGTATGTTTTAATCATTTCAGATATGTAGTTAAGTTATCCATTACAGGTAAACTGTAGTTACTGCAATATGTCCCATAATATAATAACAATAATATAGTCACAGTCACAAAATAATTTCTAATTTACTGAGTTATAGAGAAAATTTTAAGTACATACATGCTCTTGGTTCAAAGGTCATATTTGTTGATGTTTAAAGGATTATTGCATAAATTTCCCTAATAGTGGTTAGTAAAAAAGAAATTTCAAAGCATTGAGATCTGGATTCTGACCCCAAGTGGAAAGGAAACTATGACATGACAGAATTGCCAAAACACAATAGCTGAGAAAAGCAAAAGTTAACAGCAGTCATATTTAAACCGGCAAACAAGAAAAAAGGGATAAAATATAATTTTAAAAATGCATTAACCATAGGATCACAACTTTACAGTTCTGAAATTGAGCTGTAGGGTATAAGTGTGTAGCATCATTCAACATAATATAACACCATTTTTATTAATCAGTGATTGCAATTGTCCGCAAAATGCTTTTAAAAACATTAATCCATAAATTATGTAACAGCAAGTGAAAAGCATAATGTTTGACAGCCCATATATTCCTTAATTAACCTCATTTATAAACACTGTTACAACACATTTTGTTTTTTACCGGTCTGGTTTACACTATTTTTTCTGCATTAAGTTCTTTATAAAGTTGGCATAAAGATAAACTATGTGATTTGAAGAAAAATTTTACAACTTAGAAGACTTAGACAACAAAATAGATTATTTTCTGGCAGAATCAGTCCAAAAGTAGTTCTTGCTTGGCAGTTTTGCTTAGTTTGACATTTTCCCAGGAATGCTACTACTGTATACAGCAACTGCTTACAACTACTGTACTTTTATTAAGATTTGTTTCATAATTTATTTAAGCTATCTCAAAAAATGTTTGCTGACATGAAATATTAGATTAATAATAATGTTAAAACCTTTTGTTTGTTTCTTAGATATGTCTTACAAGAACTGGGGTATCCACAGCTACTTAAGAATGTAAGTATAGCAATGATCAAGTATTGTGCTCCGCCAACTTTTGTATGACACAGTAAAAGGATATTTGTGACATAATTTTGTCAATTAATATCATAAATTATATTTATTGATTGGTTTAATACATGTTAACCCATTGGGGAAGGAATTAATCCACTACCTGCAGCACCCTCTGGCGGCAATTAATTTTACCGAATTTGTACACTTTTACTCTAACTGCTATAGAAAGAAAACCTTAGGTAATAAATTAATAATTCTTCCACCATTTTGTTCACAGTAAAATTGTCTACAGAAAAGTGTTAATTGGATAGTCAAAGTTGTAAACAAAAAAAAAAAATATATATAAAGATTATAAAAATAAAAATTTTAAAAACAATATTTTGAAAGTAAACTTGATATACAAATTCCAAGATTAATCCAGACACCAAATAACACTACTATTATAAAGGTCGATCGATTCCCTACGTAGAAAAATCAAAAGTTGTGTACTTTTATAAGTAATAACATTTTTTAAAAATTGTTTGTTTACCTTACCGCAGCTGATTTTTGGTGATTTGTGGTTTCCATGGCAACACAAAATTGTTTGTTATTCGCTAAAATAAATGAGTAAATACGCAAATCAAGAAGTAAGATATTTATAAACATTATAATAGTAAGAAGAAACAAAAAGGGCGAAAAATAATAATAACTAAATAAAAAATGGCGCTGCCTAGCGGTGACACGAGCGGCTCTCGTAAGTCGGCCTCCGGGCCTGCAGCGGCCGTACGAGTAACGCTCGTAAGTCGGCGCCAATGGGTTAAAGGCAAGCATTAACTTTTGCTTTTATTTTTAGTTACCTGAAAACCCAGCTTTAACTGGGCTCTCCAACGGCATGCTGGAAGCATGGGACATCTTTGGAAACAAAAAGTAAGTAAAGAAAACCATCAAGTAGCCCTATTTATAAGTTTTCATTTTTAATTCAGTAATTCAAGTCAGTCAAGACTAATTTATTATTCAATTACCAATAACAAAACATAAGAATTAACACAAAGAAAATAGAAATCACGCCATTAATAACAAAATGGCAGCCAAAAATGATTAAGACAATGGTTATTGAAAGTAATTTTGAAATGTCATTTTGTTATTAATGGTCCGATTTCTATTTTCTTTGTGTTAATTCTTATGTTTCGTCAAGACCTGCAAAATGATACCAAACTCGTCTATACTTGCTATTTGAACATTTTGAGCTACCCCCTACCCCTGCTACCCCTAATGGCAAACTTTTCAAAATTGACCATAATTATTGTAGCCCCTCGTATCTAAGAATGTTGCCACAAACAGATTTCAAATATCTCAAATGGTTTAAAAGTTAAGGGGGGTGTAAGTTACTTTTCAGCCACCCTGTATATTATTGGATATTGCACAGGTGAAGGAATGTTTTTGGGTTGATTAAATAGTTTTTTCCAGAATTAGATCAGCTGGTTCCATCTACCAGAAGCTCAATTTCAAGGACAGCTAAGCCCTGATTCAAACCATAAAAGTGTATTCTCCAAACCAGAACTGTGACTTCTATTTCCTATATTTTCTGTAGTCATTCTACAAGATCATCCTATTTAGTATTGATTTGATAAGTACCGGGTGTCCATAAATGAATATCGGGGTTTTAACTCTTTATAATATTAATTACATTAAACTTACAGTTATAAATGATATGTCACATGAAAGAGCAACTCAAACAGTTTTATATACAAGCTTACAAGTGTTCTATGTGAGCACCATTTGTCACACGGCACACATCAAGTCTATAGCTGAGTTCTTCCCAAACGTTGAGCAGTGTGTCTTCAGTAATTGTTGCAACAGCTGCTTCAATCCTGTTTCGTAATTCATGGAGGTCAGCTGGTAATGGAGGCACATACACACGATCCTTGATGAAACCCCAAAGGTAGAAATCGCATGGCGTTAGGTCGGGTGAACGTGGAGGCCACGCATAGCAAGCTCTGTCATTGGGTCCCTTGCGGCCAATCCAGCGGTCGGGTAAAGTTACGTTCAACCAACCGCGTACTTCGTTATGCCAGTGAGGTGGCGCGCCATCTTGCTGGAAAATGAAATTCTCTGGTTCATATTGTTCCAATTGAGGGAAGAGCCATTGCTCTAGTGTATCAAGGTAAGAAGTACCAGTAACAGTAGCTTCACCAAAAAAGAAAGGTCCGTAAACTTTCCGCCGGGATACGGCACAAAAAACATTGATTTTAGGGGAGTCTCGTTGCACTTGTACGACCTCATGAGGATTTTTTGAGCCCCATATCCGCACATTATGAGTGTTAACATGTCCACTGAGGTGAAAGGTCGATTCATCACTGAAAACAACATGATCTAGAAAATCTTCATCGTCATTTAACAGCATTACGTTAGCGAAGTTGGCACGTAAACCATGGTCTGCAGGCTTTAGAGCCTGTAACAACTGTAAACGATAAGGACGTAGTTGCAATCGTTTCCTTAAAACTTTCCAAACAGTCGACTTAGCAATTTCTAATTCACGACTAGCCTTCCGAACTGATTTCTTTGGGCTACGAGTGAACGACTCTCTCACTCGCTCAACATCCTCTTCGCTAACTCTTGGTCGTCCCGTGCTCTTCCCTTTACAAAGGCAGCCTGTATCTTCAAACTGATGAAACCATCTACGGATGTTATTGTCACTTGGAGGATCACACCCGAACTTAATGCGGAACGCACGTTGCACAGTAACTACAGATTCAGTCTTTGCAAACTGCAAAACACAAAACGCTTTCTGTTCACTAGTCGCCATCTTTGCTACTACCGCTTTCTAGCGGATCGCGGTGTAAACATTTCACGCGCATGCGCACTGGTGCTAACGAATAAAACTGTTTGAGTTGCTCTTTCATGTGACATATCATTTATAACTGTAAGTTTAATGTAATTAATATTATAAAGCGTTAAAACCCCGATATTCATTTATGGACACCCGGTATATGTGAACAGACAGACAACAAATGCAAGTTAGTTTTGTTTGACAAAATAGTCTCTTGTCTCTTGAATTTACTTCATTTTGGTATCAATAAGCTGTCAGATTCATCCCTAAAAAAACAACAAAAAAAACTAATGCAAATCCATTTTACTTAACTGAGTAAAAACCCTTTTAGCTTTTATGATTTGTATGATGTAAATTTTCCAGTGCTGTCATACTGTTTGTCATTGAAGATGTGACATACAACATATGTGACCAACGTTTCCTGGAGTTTGAGATACGAAAAATAAATCCAGAAGTAAGAATTATTCGAAGGACACTTACTGACATAGCCAACACAGCTAAGCTGGGTCCAAAGAAAGAACTTATGGTGTAAGTATACATTTTATAAATTTGACTTTGTAGAATAATAGTTATTTTGTATTTTATGTTAATTCACCATCGCCATTCTGATCTAATTGACTAATAAAGAATAATTTTGACAGGTCATTCAACTTTTTCATTACCGGTACAATGATTTTCACATGGTTGACCTATATTTTCTACAGGGGCCAGGATACAGTGGCTGTGGTGTACTTCAGAGCTGGCTATGAGCCTGGCCATTACCATTCACAGAAAGAGTGGGACGCTCGTCTGTTGATGGAATTGTCCACCGCTATCAAGTGTCCCAGCATTCATTACCATCTTGCGGGTACAAAAAAGGTACTGGATGTTTTATTCTATAACATTTATTTAAAAATAATGGCGTAAACCAGGGATACTCACTAGCCTCAAAGAGCCAATTGGTTTGCATCAAAGTAACCTCTAGGCCGCAAGCAGTGGCGGCTTATGTTCACTTTTAGGGTGAGTCAGTAAAAGGGGTTTTGGGGGCCCTCACCTGAAAAATTGTTGAAAATAAAAGCCTAACATGTGTTAGCTACCTGAAGCACATTTTTCAGTGTAATATATTTCTTCACTAAATATTGTTCATAGCTCTAATATTTTATTTTATTTCCAACAGTACGAGAAAGTGTAGTTATTAGTTAAGATACCTGGCCTTGACATACCCCTTGGTACAATCCTTGAAATTTAGGGTAGGCCTAGCTGTAGTCAAACTTACAACATCTGTTTCACCAGTAATTAGAACTCTGTTGGAACATAACTTTTGAAACTTCACACTACTCTACATGTCAAGAATTGTCTGGTGACACACATCTTCCCATTATTCGCTATTTAACACAATCCTTGGGCTAATATTGATGGATGTTATCCTGCGGATTGCTGTATAGTACTTAAAATGGTTTAAGTACCTGCATTTAACCCTCCAAGTGTCCATAGTTTAGGCCTTAATGTCCACCTATTTTTGGCGCATTTGCAAGGTTTTATTAAAACGGATCTGAGAAGCTTAAAACAATGTTAATTCTAATGTTCTATATACCATTTTGTTTGGAAAATCATGGGCTTCAATATTATATATAAAACATAAGGAACATTTTTTCAAAAAAAAAAAATTTTTAGGTAAAAAAAATATAATTTCGAAAATTTTCAAAAAAAAAATAAGTTTGCGCTCAATGAAATTGTATAAATTATAGGCCTATAAATATTTGAAAATAGCCACTTTGTTCTAAATTTTATGAGGATTACAAATATATAATAATATAAGGAAGTAGATTTGCAAATAAATAAGTTATGGGCAAAAAACAGATTTCAGTACATAGCGTTTAGCTAAGAATGCATAGCCTAACCATAGCTAGGAATCTGGCTGATAATTTACATCAATATCACTACCTACTTCTTCAGGATCATCAACCAGCACTTCAAAACCACTTAAATCTTCTTATAATGCAACACGTATATCACTACTTTTGATTTTTAACACTAAAACAATGATAAACGTAATAAAACACATCAGTCATCGGTCGGAGGGTAACCTAGCTGTTTACAAATACACGCACGTCAGCTGTCTGCTACATATTACGATCGGCTCAGATAACGTACAGCGCTGAGACAGACCTCTGGAGAAAGCTTAGAATGAAACGGAAAGAACGATACCTAACTCGATCCAGTTCAATCCGATTCAGTCAGTTATAGAGCCTTCGCCGTAAACGATGTCTGCTTGTCGAAAAATCGACAAGTAACACTACACAAAGTGTGCTGCTTGTCGAATTTTCGTCAAGTAACACTGGGAGGGTTAAGTAATCCAATTCGTTGCTTTATGTTGCAACTGGTTTCAACTCCGTAGGGTCATCTTAAGGCGTACAAGGATAAAGTTGTCACTTCATTGTAAGGTCGTCATAGTTTTTTAAAAACACTTACCTTGAACATGGAACAGAAACTAAGGTTTAACATTAAAAAACAAAAAAAAATACTGAGAAGGTGAGCAAGAATAGACATGTACCTAGGGCTAAATCTTTCTTTAGATATTGTTAATTCATCATGATTTTTAAATTACATGGGCTTGAAATACTCAAATCAAAAATTATATTCAAAGGAATGGCTGGTAAGGCATTTTTTTAATGGAATTGAGTTCTGCTAGCTTACCTAAGGAATTTAAAGTTCAGGAGCTAATAGATACACAATAATAGAACACAAATTAAACCCTGATATTTTCTCTTGACGTGGAACTTCTTCAGAGAATACCTTGAAGAGGAAATTGACTTTCTAATTTTCTCAGGTAAGCTCGCTGAACTCTTTGCCTTTAAAAAAAAAAACTCCATAAAAAATAGTCATTGAGTAGGTAATCAGTGTAAGTGGCAGTTATTTTTGGATGACTGCATTTTATTCTCTCACAGAAAAGAGTCAGAATTTTTAGGTACTTAGTATTTTCCACACAGAAAATACAGGTTATAGTGCAATGTCTTGGGAGATCTCTATGTTATCTAATTCCTCCCTAGTGTTTTGTGGACTTAAAGATTTTTCTTACAATGCTGACCCTTGCTACACCACTTTCCTTAGTTTGGTCATAATAAGGCTTAATAGTTGTGATGAATTACCTAATTGAAATTTGATTTCTCAACCAGCGTATTACTTCCTGCTTTTCCCAGTGCTTATTTGAAAACCACTGCTGAAGATCTCCTCTTGTAATATTATATTTGTGAACATTGTGCTTGTAATCGTGTCCATGAGTATTGTGTAGTCTATGGTAAATTGATAGTGATAGGTACTAATATTGTTTTCACAAACAACGATTTTCATAGTTTACCCTCTTTGTATCAGGTTCAACAATCCCTTGCCAAACCTGGTTGCCTAGAACGATTTTTGGATGACAGTAAGAAAATTCAAGAAATTCAAGACATTTTCACAGGTCTTTACTCTCTAGACTTGGTAAGTTAATAAATATTTATATTTCTTATTATTTCCATTTTTAAACGGTAATCTGGGTTTAAACAGTTTGGCGGATAAACTTTTAAATGCCACTGCAGTTTTATTAAAAAAAAAAAAAATTATAAAAGACTTAAGACATGTATAAAAAATTTGTAAAATAGTATATTTTTACCTTTGGGGTTTTCTCTTTCTATCAATTGAACATTATTGTCATTACTTAAACTAGGTTTTTTGCCTCACTGGTTGCATTTTGATAATAGAATGTTGTTCTGCAGGATGATGCGGGTAATACGGGTGTGCAGAAAGCTCTCTCGTCGCCAGAGAAGTACGTTTTGAAGCCGCAGAGGGAAGGAGGTGGCAACAATGTTTACGGAAGTGAAATCAAGGAGGCGCTGCTCAACATGGCAGACTCAGAGGAGAGATCTGCGTGGATACTGATGGACCGTATACATCCCCCGGTGCAGGTGAACTACATCGTAAGACCCAACCAGTCCACGGTTGAACTGCAGGACATTGTGTGCGAGCTGGGCATCTTCGGCGTTGTCATTGGGTAAGTTTTTTTGTAATATAGGGGTTTTGGTTTGCAGGAATATTATTGACAGGTTACTAAATAACTCATAACATTGAATATTGACAGAAGATGAGATTTCACTCTCATTTTGCTGTAGTCAGTTTTAGATTGAATACGGGTGTAGTTAAGTTTACCTAACGACAGTGTGTTGATGCCAGTTACAGATTTTTTCAAATACGCCAACTTTTTAACCAACCTGAACTGCATCTACAATTTAATGCTGCCTAATGTTAATAATTTTTGTTATCATACTAATTCGTGTTTTAATGGTGTTCCAAACTTGTTTGTTCCTAATCCATATCATATTTGGAGGTCATAATGAATTGAAATGGAAGTCAATAGGGGTACCATTCGGCCCTGAAGATAACATATGAATTAATTAAACTATGCTCCGATTCTACCGAAGTTTGTGTGAAACTCTGCCTCCTTGTTTACAGAGATGAAAAGCAAATTCTGACCAACAGACAAGTCGGCCACATGCTACGAAGTAAGCTCAGCTCTGCGAACGAGGGAGGAGTGGCTGCAGGGGTCGGGGCTTTGGACAGTCCTTACCTAACCTAACTGTCTATTACATTTTCACCGATTGTATACATTGTTATTTGTTATATTTTATACAGATTATACAATAATTTTATTGCAGTTATTTTAAATCAATACAGAATATATTTTTAACTACAGTACTTTTACTTGTGTTTTTTTTATCATTTACCACGAACACATTCATCATGGTCATCAATTTAGAAGCTTCAGTCTTACAGGTGTGCTGATTTAAGCATCTTCCATTCTTTTCTATTCCCCATGGAAGAGATTTTGGTGCACTTGCTCAGACGTTTTTGTTTTGTCATTAGGTTTTCTTTTGTCTTTCAATTTCTGTTTAGTCCTCTAATCTCTTTCAGATCTGTTAGATTAGATGTAAAAAATAGTTGTTTTGACAAGGCTGAATCAAATTTACTTCAAAAAAAGTTTTAGATTTTATTGTGATTTTATTTTTTATTTATTTTACAATATCTCCATAGGGGTGACGTGACACACTGAATTTTAGGGATGGACGGGTCCCGAAATTTCGGGAACATTTCGGGGAAAAAATATTCCCGATTATCGGGACGGGATTACATTTGATTCGGGAATTTTTCGGGACGGGATTTGGTCCGATCGCCGGCGATTTTGCCACTTCGCGAGTGCCGATGACGCCGCTATTGCGAGCGATAGGTCCGCGAACGCAGGAGACGAAGTCATTTCGACGATCGCGCCGTGACCGCGGAGTCCTACCGACGATCACGCCGTGACCGCGGAGTCCTACCGACGATCGCGCCGTGACCGCAGAGTCATGCCGACGATCGCGCCGTGACCGTGGAGTCATGCCGACGATCGCGCCGTGACCGCGGACTCATGCCGACGATCGCGCCGTGACCGCGGTGTCATGCCGACGATCGCGCCGTGACCGCGGAGTCATGCCGACGATCGCGCCGTGACCGCGGAGTCATGCCGACGATCATGCCGTGACCGTGGAGTCCTACCGACGATCGCACCGTGACCGCGAGTCATACCGACGTCGTGACCGCGGAGTCATGCTGACGATCGCGCCGTGACCGTGAGTCATACTGACGATCATGCCGTGATCGCGAGTCATACCGACGATCATCCCGTGACCGCGAGTCATACCGACGATCACCCCGTGACCGCGATTATTGGACCGACGATCGCAACGTGACCGCGAGTCATAACGAAGATCGCAACGTGACCGCGATTATTGGACCGACGATCGCACCGTGACCGCGAGTAATACCAACAATCGCGCCGTGACCGCGGAGTTCTACCGACGAGCGCCGTGACCGCGGAGTCATGCCGACGATCGCGCCGTGACCGCGGAGTCATGCCAACGATCGCGCCGTGACCGCGGAGTCATGCCGACGATCATGCCGTGACCGTGGAGTCCTACCGACGATCGTACCGTGACCGCGAGTCATACCGACGTCGTGACCGCGGAGTCATGCTGACGATCGCGCCGTGACCGTGAGTCATACTGACGATCATGCCGTGACCGCGAGTCATACCGACGATCATCCCGTGACCGCGAGTCATACCGACGATCACCCCGTGACCGCGGTCATTTTGACGATCGCACCGTGACCGTGAGTCACAAGTTTCTATAGGTACCTGTATATTGTTACCCATTCTTTGGTTTTTATAGATCAGTACCACAAACGGTAAAAATTGATTTTGTATGTCTTTTTTTGGTAACTGCAATACTCAAGACTTTCTTTTTATGCACAGAAAATATCCCGTCCCGTCCCGTCCCGAAAATCGGGAAGGAAATAAAAATCCCGTCCCGTCCCGTCCCGAACTAAAAATTCAATCCCGCCCATCCCTACTGAATTTACTTTTTTATGTCCCAAGAGGCCAAAAACACTAGTCAATTTGTTAAAATGTTTATACAAACATACTAAAATGTGTAATCATAATCATGTTTTTTATCTGTACGTGTACGTTAACACGATAACTAGAGCAATTATGGTCAGATTTTGATCAAATGTGGCTTGAACATTTAGGGCTGGAGAAACTTCAATGAGTTTGCAATCCAGCATAATCGGACGACGGAAACATTGTTTAGTAAAGTAAAAATTGGTTATTTCCATTTTTCATCCTCAAAACACAACAGTTTGCTTCTTTACACTAAAACTCCTTTAGAAAAAATATTGTTCGGCTTAAAAAACAAATAATTTTGATTTTGTACATTTAAGGGTACAATGCTTCACTTCACACTTAAAGGTTACAGAGATAATAAAAAAACAACTGCAATTTAAAAATTCCATTTTATACTTAGGTATACAGAACAACACTCAACTGCTGTAGTTTGTTTTGGATTATGTACCTATATGTCAAATTCAGCCAATTTTTTGTTTCCTTCTAAGCTATCAAAATTTGCTAAACAACCTTAATTCTTTTCCTGTAGCAGCAAACCTAAGGGCTGGGTTAAACCTGTTATTTAAATAGCGAATAAATCTAACATTTAGAAAAATATTTTGGTAAAAATTCAATGAGTCAAATGGAAAATGGCCTAGTCTGCAGGTTTACTGCAACTGGGGGTATTTATTAAGATAAAATTACTGAGAGTTATAAATAGTTTTTTTTTACAATATGCACACATATTTACACACAGCTAAATCTATTCTGCCTCGGATGGATTGTTGTTTGATGTCGCTTGGGACAGATACACTGGCGTTGATCCTGAGTTCTGTTGGTTGACCTGCAAAAAAAATATCAATTGTTTACTACATGAGCTCATTCATTATCCTACAGTCAAATCATTTTGTCCAATGCTCAGTGTTGGGGAAGCTACTTTTAAAATGTAGCTAGCTACAACTACTGCTACATTTCCAAAAAAGTAGCTTAGCTACAGCTACAGCTACAGTTCCGAGAAAGTAGCTAGCTACAACTACAGCTACAATGAAATGTAGCTATAGCTACAATTTTAGCTACTTTTCCTGTAAAATTAATTGCAACTATGTAAACCTAACGTTACAACAACAGAACCAAAATAAGTTAGTTGGGTGTTCCATCATATTTAGTGCTTGTTTTTAAATATGGCATTATTTTTAAGCATATTATATGTAAATTTCATTAGCCTAAGTTCAAAGGACATACAAACAAACTATATTTTAAAAGCCCATTTCATTTCTTTAATCTACATTCATTTATAGATTCTTTTATCAACTATTAAAACAATAAAACTGTAAAACGATTATTCAAAAATACTATTTTGTGTTACAGAGCCTAGCCTACTGAAATTGGAGTTAATTGCCTTTCCTTATTTTTAATGTTAAAAACTACATTTCTATAACTTTTACCCATAGTAATATGTTACTTGTTCTATGAATAACACTTTTCAATGTCAAGAAATCGTCCTTTGTCAAATTATGCATAGGTCAAATTGTGCTTCAACAAACGTTGGTGCAGAAAACAGTATTCAGCAGCTTATCCTGAAATCGGCTTTTAATTTAAACATGTTGAAAATTGTTAAGTAAAAATAACATTTTGGCGTAGCCTACTTGGCTTTGTACAACAAATTGGCTATAGTAGGCTTGTTCTTACAAGGACTAAACATACATATTCCTATTAATTGAACTTGATATTCGTATTAATCCAATAGCATAGCCTAGGAATAGTCCTTAAAAAGAGCTGTTAGCAGGAGCAAACTACCGTATGCTACTTTTTAAATGCAAGTTTCATGTTATATGGAGATTTTTTTGTTACAATTATTATGTATTCTAGGCCTAGGCATATATCAAATCTCATCAGGAAATTTACTCTTCGTTCATTTAGTAAACCTTTGAAAAATCTTTGTAATCTAACCAAGGAAGGGCTTGTGATGGTGAACCACAATCAACAGATGAAGCAAAGGTTGATAGACCAGCTTTCTCATTATTTTTAGGTTTAGTGTTGGTTTCCATTAAAACCCAAGTTTAAACTAAATTTATACAATAAAGAAACTAAATTGATTACCAATTTCCCTTCCCTGACAATCACTTGAAAGCATTCAATAGCTTCTCTTGTCACCGGTACCGGTACGGTAACGTTTAATTAAACGTCGTCTGCAGCTAGCAATTTTATTTTATCTGACAGTAATCATAGAGTAGCAAATGAAGGAAATGAGAGCCAAACATGTGGATAACACTCAGATAATAGCCTCCATGTCCACGCAACGTTTTAATAGGTAATGACACGACTGTGACCAGCTGTATGAAGCCAAGAAAGTAGGCCTAACTTTTTTGAAAATCTCAGTTTGAAAAAGGTTGTGATAAAAATCACTATCTCAATCAATGTTAATGTAGTGAGAAAAGTAGCTAAAATTCCGCTACAACTACTTTAAAAATGTAGCTAGCTACAGCTAAAGCTACAAAATCTTAAAAGTAGCGTAGCTACAGCTAACGCTACAAAAAAAGTAGCGCGCTACTGTAGCGTCGCTACTTGTAGCGCGCTACTTCCCAACACTGCCAATGCTGAAGCAGAAAAGTAGTAAGGTTTCAAACAATTGTTTTCCACACAACTACTTATTACTAACGGATGAGAAATATATTAAAATAATGTTAAAACACTGTGTTAAGTTGTATTTATTATAGAAGTCGAAAGTGATCTATGATTTACCTGAATTATCTGAGGATGAGCTTGTACTATGATTGGCGACGATGTTCCTCCGTTCAGCTGCATTCTGATCATCTGCAGTTGACTGGGAGATAACTGAATCTGAAAAAAATGTTAGTTCTATCAAAATGCCACATTAAAATTAGGCTAATTGTACACAATTTATTAACTTGACAAGAGGATTGATAAAATAGTCTTTTGTTCTGTTTGTTGGTTCTGAAAACATTTTAAAAGACTTTCAGACATAATGGAAGTGTAGAAGGACAAGGTAATTTTATTAGCACTTGAACTGAGGGATTTTTCTGACCTTGCTTGAACGTGTTTGCTGTAAAAATTGGAAAATTAATGATGTAAGGAGTTTTATCGGTTTGTCCTCTATAGAGCAACTTTTTTGTAGAAATTATTTTAAAACTCAAGCCAAATGGCTTTATCAGCTGCCTTGATCAAGAAAGGGGGTAGAATAGGTTTAGACTGCAGCAAATGGAAAGGAGAGAACCAAAGATATACAAAATCATTAGTAAGAAATATGTTTGAGCAAAGACAATATCTGCAGTTATTAAATATCAGCTTCAATAATCCGACGTTATAATTTTATGGTATTGTAGGGGATGGAAATATTTATTCAAAGATACTCTGTGGGAAATATAGCGCTATTTAACTTTTCTCTTGTTTGAAACTGATAAACTATACCACCCTTAGGCTTATACTTAAGCTGTCCTGGCAGAGGCAGAGTTTGAAACTGATAAACTATACCACCCTTAGGCTTATACTTAAGCTGTCCTGGCAGGAGACCTGGCTATGAAGACATTTTGTACAACAGTATATCATCTGTAGTTTTTGTTTCCTTTTTTTTTGCAAAAATTATCAACATTATCAATCGTTGAGATGGGGACGCCACCTAGGTGCGTAGTTTAACTCAAATATTGAATGAAGGATGAGTGTAGAATGGTGTGTGATGACCCGTGTAGCTCTGTAACTGACTAAGATCAGCTGTTTCATTAGCCAGGATCATTTAAAGCCAAATGATCAGAAACTGCTGGGTCCAGTTTTGAACCATCAGACTTTTTCAGGATCGAACCTGCGACCTTTTGAATGTTAGGCGAGCACTATAACCATTCAATCACCTAGCCACAATTGGATACAATATAATAAAACTATTACTGATATAACCACCATTTCTTCTACATTAAAAAAGAAAAATTTTGCTAAACTAATTAATTTAAAATCAGGTTGATAACTTATATTGAAACGGGTCAAAATTTGCTTGAGGGTGAATATTTTTGCGCTCATTCCAAATATGTTGTTTTACTTGTGCAAGGGGCGCAGTAAAAGCTAGGCATAATGATGTCACCCTGGACTAGCATTATTTTAATTAATACTCTCAGCCAATAATCTTAAATCGATAAGTCACAAACTCGTTCAAACCCTAAACTATATCGTTATAGGCTAGGTTATCTGGACAAATGTGTGACTCATTTTGGTGAGACAAAATTATTAGGTCTTCAGGAAAGACAAGGTTATTATATCATATTTTGCCCTACACCAAAATTTACAGAGTATGATAAGATTTGATTTGACATACTGGAACATTTTGGATCTCCCCATTTGCCGTAACCACCTGCTGTACGAGTTGAATGCCCGTCTGTCCTTGATTAGTCTGTAGTTGCACCATGTGTGGCTGACTGGCCGAGTTGTTGGTGTTACCTCCGTTTTGCTGCAATCAGAACAAAGCTATAATAGATTTATACGACACTGACTCACCACTGTGTATATTTTTAAGGCGAAGATGAGTTAAGGGAATGTTAATTGAATAAGGAATTTTTGAAAAAGGAATAGAGTTCAGCTAGTCAAAGAAAATTTGAGTAAAGGGGCTAATAGATACACAATAAAAGAACACAAAACATTGTGGAGTTCTACATAACTTCTATGTCCCGCCAAAAGGTATGAATAGTTAACCCATTGACCAATCTTAGACGTGGCTCTCGCGCATGCCCTGGAAGACATCACGTGAGCCAAGCGACGGAGTCGGGTCGGTGTCCTGGAAGCGAAGAGTGAACATACAACATGGCTGGCTAGATACGCGGGGCATGGGTTAAGGGGGCATGGGTTAAGGCCCCGGTGAGGTATAGTGCTTGAATCATAAGTTATTTAAAATTTTTCATATTATTTGTTTCGGGCTCAATGATTTATAATGTCCATTTTAGCTTTGATATCAATATTACGTTAATTAATCCTTCACGTTGTGTCCACTCAAATTTGGTCCATTAGATAATATCTTAATAACATCCATCAGACGGCCACAACATAACACTGACATTTCGTCCTGATGTAGGACTTCTTAAGAGGATAGGTTGGAGAGAAATATCTGTTCAAAACTGGAACTGGAGTTGATCTTCAGCGTTGCCAACTGTGGCCACCACAAAAAAATACTAGACATAATGATACTATAAAAACAAATGTACACAAATATTTACACTTTAGGGGAAACTACTTAAAAAAAGCTAGCTGAGAGGGGAGGTAGGCGTTATTGAATTAAATTGAGGCCATTAGGATTTCCAGAGCCTGTAATATATATCGGCAGGCTAAATCCCACCTCCTCAGTAGGGAACTGTTGAACTGTTGTTAATTGAACAAGATGATTCTATGTTACAGTAGAACCTGTATTGTGTCACTTTTGGGACCGGGAGCGTTACAGTTAAGCGAATAGATGGATAACAAGAATCTTGTGTATGTTGTACTTGTTCAATGTTCGTACGGCGTTAATTACGACACATTAAGTAGCAGGGTGACAGATAAAACAGAGAGTAACAGTTGATCGAGGTTCTTCTGTACTAAGATCTCTCTGAAGCCATAACCATTTATTAAAATCTCAATGATGAAGTGTTGCTGGGTCTAGTTTAAAACCACCAAAAAGTAACTGAATTTTCTAAGAATTGAACTGGTAATCTGATTATTAGGCTAGCGCTAAAACCTCGCAGAAGTGAGACGAGTTGACAGACAGATCTAACAGAACAGATCATTGGTCATTGGATCAAGATTGGTTGGTTTCAGAATAGATTTAACCTAGCACCTTGGTGAAAAAGTTACTCAATATAATAACGTATAGTCTTAAAAAAGCAAATCCTAATCCAAGCTAATCATACAAGCTTTAACGACTTCACTCACCAACTTCAGCATAATATACGCCTACAACATTGAACCAAAACATGTAAAGAGATTTGTCTCTAAATTGTTGCCGATTTTACAAAAGTCGAACCTGTTCACTGGGATTGGAGACGGTGATTGTGTGCAGACCGGAGGTAGGTTGTACTACCTGTATGGTTGGCGCAGGTGCTGGTGCAGACGACGCAGGAGCTGCAGATGCTTGTTGTAGAGCTGCTTGATGCTGTTGAGCTAGGTGGAAATAGTAATGGACCTGCAATAAATTCATAAATTAATAGTAAGATAGCCTTTTGGAGGAAATTTTCCACCAATTCACAACCACTGATTCACTACCTATATATTTTTTTACTATTCTAACTGGGGGTTGATCAAGGCACCAGAAAACCAGAAGCTCGCCTATTAACGGGACAACACCTTGATCAACCACCTAAATTGTTCTATATTTGATTTTTGATTTTTTGGTAATTTTTGATGATTTTTAACTTATGTTACCGCCTAATAATCTCATACATAACATAAGTATCTCATACAGAACATAAGTACTTACCTGATCAGGATTTATGGGCGTTCTTGCTTCATTTGTCGATCTGCTGCTCGTAGTTTTTATTTCATCCCTGGGAACAATGTCTATGAGGAAATCAAACTGGTCGTACTTTGTGATGGCCATTGCGATGTCGTTTCGTTGCAAAGTGCGTCTCTTGTTGTCTTCAGTGTGTATCCATGCCCTCAGCGTAAGTTCGTGAATAAAAAGTTCAGCCGCTTTAGAAAACAGCATCGGTGCTTCAGCACTGATCATTTTTACATCTTCATCTAGTTTCATTATCTTTTTTATCCTTGCCAGAGGGAGAGCCTGAGTTTTCACATCTAGCTGCAAAATAACCATTAATATATGAAATGGATCGTTATATATATAATATAGATTATATAATCTATATATTTGCAACTCCTTGATTACACATATTTATAAGATTTCTTTTTTGGTACTGTTGCACCAGTGGGGTTCTACCTTAGAAAACTTGTTTTAAAATCATTTGGACTTTTTTCATAAGATAAGAGAAAAATACTGTAAAAAGAGACGTTACTAAACAACTGAGTGGCAATACCAAATTATAGGCTACAGCAACTAAACAATAGTTATTTGTTTAACTAGTGGGGTGAGAAATGTTTACGCACGAGCCATAGGTGAGTCTGGAAAGTTTCTCGAGTGCAGCATAGGCAGTTTGCACTCGCCTTACACATTATATTTTTCCTACAGTTACTATAAAGCATATAAATAATTAGTCTTTCAAACACTGTACAACACGTTTTTAGGTTAGGTTAAATCCAAACACTAAACGAAATGGGAATTAAACACTGCACCTAAGTGTTGCCAACTTATTTTCAAGCGTATACGTATTACGTGCCTAATAAAAGCACACTGTTTTGTGTTCATTGGTTGGAATACTGGCTTGCGACAAAAAAAAAAGCTGTGGCAAAAATAAAAAGTGTGCGGCAAAAGTAAGTACATGCAACAATTAGCAACTTTCTGTATTATAATCAGTGCAAGAAAGGCCACTTTGTCAGGTTACTGTAGGAAATAGTTATTTGTGTAACTAGTGGTGAAAGTGGCACTTTGCTGCACACGAGAGCAATGTTTACGCATGAGCCGCAGGCGAGTGCGGAATGATCTCGAGTGCAGCAAAGGCCTTTTTCACTCGTGTTACACATTATATTTTTCCTACAGTCACTATAAAACATAAATAATTAGTCTTTCAAACACTATACAACACGTTTTTAGGTTCAGCTAGCAACACAATTACACAAATGGTGCCCTGGAGAAAGTAGTACCCGTGGTCCGTATCACTCCGCTATTTTTCCTCGGCAAGAAATGTGCTCCGTCTTTTGAGAATATAGTTCCGTATGTTTTTGTAATTTGAAGTGGTTTCCGCGCCTAAAAAAAATGCTTTAAAGGTATTTTCTTGTTTATTAAGACCGTAGGAATGTTTTAAAAACGTTTAAAAGAAAAGTCCAGAAAGTTCAGAAATACCAAAACTATAAACACGAAATGACAGGTTAAATCGTAGTTATAATAGTCAATCAGCTGTTCATAGTATTATTATCTTTAAGTGTTGCCAACCTATTTCCAAGCGTACACGGATTACGTGCATAATAAAACCACGCTGTTTTGTGTTGTTTGGTTGGAATCCTGATGTGCGGCAAAGTATAAACCGTGCAGCAAAGTATAAACCGTACGGCAAAGTATAAATATGCAGCAATTAGCAGCTTTCTGTACTATAAACAGTACAGGGAAGCCAACTTTGTCGGGTGACTGTAGGAAAAAGTTATTTCATTCAAATCAATCAAATTTAAGTTTTAGTTTAGGTCTGGCATAGGTAATATGATAAATAAATAACCATAACTTGACATAACCTGTACACCTATCTAAAATATTATGTTTTATGAAAAAAGAACCTTAGCAAAGGAAATTTTTTTAACTCCCCGGTATCTCATTAGGGGAATCGATAAGATTATTTTTTAGCCTATGATTTCACAAAATTTTTTATCCTACATACCCGAACTTGACTTATTTTCTTGATTTCCTCTGTCATCTTGGGCCAGAATGCCAACAGGGCTGTATGAGCTTCTGACACATTCTGGGGAACAACTGCGGCTGAAGCAGAACCCGAGGCACCCTCTCCGTCCAAGTCATTGTCTCTATGAATTTAAACGTCACTATACAATTTATCATTATAAAACAAGAAACTTTTGATAGTTGCCAAACATTGTTAAAACAAAACTATGATTGAATATTATTGAACAGTAACTTAAGTAATCTAAATTCTATAGCAATTCAGTAGTAGGCCTAACTGAGACGTAAAATATTAGATAGAATGGTATCACAGAATAAGCGTAGCCTACTTTAAATGAGCGACTAAAGAGTGGAATTATGTCATTCCTCTGGCTAGTGTGCTTTGTTACTGACTAACAGGTTCTTTATTATAGCGTCTCGGTTTCCCCTTCCAAGAACTGATGAGAACCTCTTTAGATAAGGAGGGGGGGGCGTGACGTCACTCTGCTCTTTAGGGAACACCATTACCGTAACGAGACGATATGATTCCATCGGTGTTCGTGGTGTAGTTGATAGCATCTCGGACTCGTGATCTGGAGTCCCCAGTTCGAATCCCGCCGGCGACACTAACTTTTTGTCCAAGGTTTTGCTTAGATTGCGAATACTTCTTAACTGTAGGACTACATCTTTTTTTTTAATTTGAGCATTTAAAATTTTATTTATGAACAGAATTATTTTTTTTAAATTAGTAAACTTAGTAAAGTTTATCTTATATCTTTTTTATATTATCAGCAAGTTTGGTTGGTTAGGTTAGGTTATGACAGTTTAGTTCTATAATTAAAAATTTTAAAATTAATTTTATAGTTAAAAAGTTAATTTTCTAACTAGAATATTATAAAATAAATTTAAAGATTTTCTTAAATCGACGTGAGGGGCTCTCCCACAATCCCCCACTCTTTCGCAGACAAGGTTCTCATCAGTTTTTGGAAGGGGAAAATGAGACGCTAGTGGTTCTTTATCCAGGATACTAAATAGGTTAAAAGCTTAAAGATTGAGATTGAGAACAGCTGTGAGAATTGTTAAAATACAAAAAAAATTAGCTAAAGACTGTTTTGTTTCATCCAAAACCTTAACACCATCCATTTATTGGGTCCATTTATGAACCCAAGTTGTATGTCAATTTTATTAAAACAAGTTAGGCCTAATTTAATGTACAAACCAACCTAATTGTCAGTGTTGAATTCCAAAAGGATGGTAAAGGAATTAGGTGTGTACCTTGGTCCTATTTGCACCATAGTCGTAGAGACTAGAGATCATAATTTTATTTCTTTATTTCTTATTTCCTAATGGATTATCTTTACATATTGCCCCATATAGAGGGTATGATATCGGAGTTAATTAGGTATCCTTCCTTAACTTCTAGTGAGGTATCAAAACTGAAAATCTAAAAACTCCAAAACCCTCGAAACTTTCCCAAATAATTAGGCCTACATTAGACCTAGCAAGTAAACTTGACATAATTTAGGTTAGTAAATTATGAGATTCGATCAATGAGTTTTGAGATTTGTTACTAAAAATCAGACTTCCAACATTTTTTGGCATCATTATAATTGTTTAGAAAATTTATTTTACTAGGCTTGGCCTATTGTTACAAAAAATTTCATCCAGGATTTTGTTATAAAAAATATGCCTATTGATCACATTCATTTAATTTATTTTAGTTTGACTTGTTTATCAAAACGATGTTTTTTTTTTAGTTCAAGTCACAATCATAAATCAGAGGGTCAATGGAGTTAAATTTAAGTATTTCAGTTTTCGTTATTAACCTTTTATTATTACCTGCATTTTTGTAATAATATATATAATAGGCCTAAACAAAATTATCAAGTTTTGTCTGTAAAAGTGTGGTGTATGGGTTTTGAGATTGGGGACTGGAATTTTAATATTTGTACTTTATTTTTGGTTTTGAGGTTAGAAATTGTGAATGTTGGCTATCACTGCTACCTATTTAAGTTAATACAACCAATCTTACCAAGATAAGTTAGTAAAATTTAGTTAACTTAGATTGGGGACTAGGCCTAGAGTTTTAATTTTTGTACTTTATTTTCAGTTTTGAGGTTAGAAATTATGGATTTTGGCTATCACTGCTGCCTACTTAAGTTAATACAACCAACCTAACTCATAAGTTAATAAAATTACGGGTACAGTTTCTTAACTGGGGTATGCTAATATCGATTGAAACTATATAACTTAGAATTGGAAATATTGATTAATAATCGATATTTTTAAATATATCTATCATAAAATTAAACCATCATAACCTAACCTAACCAACCAAACTTGCTGATAGTGAAAAAATAGCATGAAGGTTTACTAATCGAAGTCCTTAAGGATAACTGTTCTTTCCGAATGCCTTAAGGATGGGAATAGGCCTAGGCCTATTAACAGTCATTAGTCTAGACTATGGCTATGTGAAAAGGCATGTAAACAGCCAGTGTTTGTATGGGTTTTACTCCAGATCATTAAGGATTCTCAGAATGAAACACTTTAATGAAAAGCAATTAATTACTATTATAACTGCTACTCAACTATTTTTGATCAAAAATAGTTTACACAGTCACAGGACAAAGCTTAGATTTTGTAATGAATTTGTGATATTTTTTAAGTGTATGAATGTGACACCCACACTTTCTTATCAGTATAAATCTCTAGCCTGTGTTAGGGAATAAAATTGAGACCTAACTCTGAAAAATTAAAAAAGTTAATTGTAAAAACTTTGAATAGGTAACTTATAGGTACTTACTGTTGGCTGTTGACAAAGAAGAGGGACATTACTGAGATACTGAGTTGTTTATCGTCTAGAGATCGATCACACTTTGCTCTTTAAAACTCAAGTGTAAAATTAATACTAAATTAATTAATTATCTTACTTTCAAACAGGTCGTCTTAAGAAGGATTGACTTTACTTTAGTAACCAATCAAAATGTCCAAAAACTCCAAGTCTCCAATCAGAAATCGAAGTAATAAGAGATCCTCTGGTTGGATGGTTGAGCTGGATCGTAGATCGTAGTCGTGAAAGTCGTGTTTCTTTCGTGTTCGTGTTGTGGCTATCCTGTCCTGACTGTTTTTTTCTCAGTGATGTGAACGTGATGCTATCAGGACAGGAACCCTTCTAATCACCGGCGTACAAAATACGAGAACAATAATATTTCGATGCTCCATAACATCAACTAAATTTTGTAACTAGACCAATTCATGAGTTTTGAAAATATGTGTTGGTTTAAGTTTTATAAGTAAGTATACGCTATTTTATTCAGATATAACTCCTTAATATTAAAGAAAAACCTATATTTATTACCGTGTCTTCGTCTATGACCGGTACATTTTTCCTGTAAATATCTATTTATTGAATTGTATAACTGCATATTTATTTATTAATTTAAGATTACAACTATCCGTTATAAATCATTTTTGTAATGGTCTTTAACCGTTGGAATGGAAATAAAAAATAAAAATAGACCAGTCAGGGCCGAAATAGATACAGCGTCAAACGTAAAATAATAAACTTCTTGAATGAAAATTTATACAGTAGACTCCCTCTCTCTTATCCGGACACCTTTTAACCGGACATAGGTTTGGTTTAACTGGACTACACTTGGCGTAAATTTATTTTTTTTTACTGGACAATTTTTATCAGCACATCGGTTTAACCGGACTTGATTAGCAGGAAGTGGGCGGTACTAAAACGACTGTTCTCGCGGGAATAAAGATTTGACACCAGCGATCACGTGTATAAACACAATGCTCTCCTAAATTTGATTTAGGTACAGTGGAACCTTAATAACAAGACCCTCGATGACAAGTTACCCTTGATAAACATAGTGTCATTTTCAAACTCCCTAGAATTTATTTTACCCTTTAATTAAATGTTATTGCAAACCTCGATAAGAAGTCAACCTTGATAATAAGTCTTATTTGATAATCCCAATGAGAGTCTTGTTATCAAGGTTCTACTGTATTTGGGTTGCACGCATTAAATTTACCGTTTTGACGAGTTTTTGGGGGCGTCTGCTTAACCGGAAAACCCGTTACCCGGACTGGCCTCGGTCCCGGGGAGTCCGGATAAGAGGGAGTCTACTTATAACTTTTAGTTTTGATTATATGACGGTGGATAGTCAATAGTTATCTTAATCTTATGGCTTATCCCATCCATTAAGGATTTGAGGTGGTCTGGAAGTGGGTTAAAGAACGTGACCCTGTATGTAGGGGAGTGTTACTGGATTTTTTAAGACGGTGTTGAGGTAGGTCTATGTCTGATCTATGTCTGGCGAAATGAGTTTTGTCGGAGAAGTGGTGAGGAGTTGTTTGCGAGGATAATTGTTTCGAGGTTATAGGTTGAGATTATGTGATTATAATGAGGATATGGTGTTTTTGAAAATATGGCTTGCAGTGTTCCAAGGGGTCCTCGGTCCTCCAGTCTCAGTATTGATATCAATGCCTCCATCTGTAAACGAGAATTTTGTTGTGGTTGCTGCTATCCCCATATGAGGTGATTCCGAATCTAATGTGTGACAATTACGATATGATAAAAGTATAGTGGATAGATTTGTATTAAGTTTAATAAAAATAATATATTTATTCAAAGGAAACGTTTTGTTTATTAATTTATACAGTAAATTGATGATAATAAGATGATAAGACCCCTACCTTCCAAAGATAAATATGTGCAAGAGACAACAAAAAATTAAAATATAATAGCAAAAAGTCAACAAAATAATTTTGCCATTGCCATTATTATCCAAATTACTATCATGGTTATGTTTTTCTTAAATTCTTTTTGATATAGACAGCTAAGTTAAAGTTGTGCTTGTAACTGTTCACCAATAGTGCGTTTACCACACAGTTCACAGCAGAAACCAAAGTCCTTTCGATCCTACCAGACACATAATTAATACAATTAATGTAATTTACCACAAGAAATTCAGAACTTCTTTTTAAAAACATTCCAAGAACAAAAATAGTAAAGAAAGCTAAGATATGTCTTATCAAACAGCTAAGTGAACAGAAGCGGGATCGGGAGAGCTGATAGCTAAGCAAAACAGACGACAGACATACGTCGTCAAGAAAAACTAGGTGGTTCTTCTTTATCAGTGGCCAGGTTTTTTGCTTTACTGCAATAAGTGAATCAGTCAGTCACTAGTAAGGCTGTATACGCTTGTCCCCCAAACATGGGTTTGAATCATTGACTAAGGAAACACACAACTTTGTTTCCCTTGTCTGTGGTTTGAATGTTTGAACGGCTAGCCGTAGAGGAGTTTATGTCCCTTTAATAACTCCTTATTGAAAATCAAAATGCATAGACCATAAAAAGAACGTATTTTGTTATTAAGGTCTTAGTTTAATTTTGTATGAATGTAAACCTATTCATACACACTATATACTATATTATGTAGATATGAGTTACTTTCATTCTGTTTTCCGTGGCAGGGCTCCTCTTTGTTCTATTCCCTCGTTATTTTCCCTTTCCATTTTCTTCTTCTCGCTCTCGCTGCTCTTTTATGCGTTGTTGTTTGTTCTTGTGAGGCTGGTTCCTTGACATTTATCAAGTTTTAATGTGTTAAAGTGCAGATGCACGTTTGTTTTTATTTGCTTTGTGCTAAATAGTAAAACCGTTAGCATATTTTTCAAAATTTCAGTTGATTTCCTTTGTATTATCCCTGTTCTAATCGCGAACGTCAGTAGTAGATTTCTCCTGAAATCGGCCATATCCGAGCGGCCATTTTCTTAATCCTGCTTCATGGTTCACAATGAGTGATTATTCAGCGGTCGCTCCGCCACAGAATTTTAGTCAAAGTTCTGCTTTTGCTGCTGCCCTACAACGTGCAAAACAGGTAAAATCTTGATAGTTAACTTTTTAAACTCTTATCGGCTTTTTCTTTGTCTTACTTGACCAAGCTTGGTTATATTTAGTAGGCCTACGACTTCCTCATCATGATAGCAAAGCCCATATCCTAATTTTTGTCGTGATGTAAGTTAATTGGTATATTCTTAATTCTTATGCATTTTGGTTACTAATTTTAGTTCAATGTTCAACACATTTAAGTAGGAGTAAGTTAAAATGATTATTCAAACCAAGCTGGATAAAGGCAGCTTTATTTCTGAATCAAGAAATTCAAGGCCATAGACAAATCTTGGTTCTGGAATGGTTCCCAGGCTTAGGCCTAGGTCTAGTTAATTTAAAACAGGACCTGCCTAGGAGAGGAGCGTGTAAAAGGTTTTTATAAACCCAAGTTGTTGTATGTCTATAAGTAAAATAAGATTGGATTAAAAATAGGCTAGGGTAGGCTCGATAATTAGTTGAAGTTAGGTCTGAGTCTTGAAATCCTTATTTTAGTTAGCCTAGGCCTACTTATAAGTCAACTTAAGTTGAACTAAGGCATAATCCAAGCCATTTTTCCGTACCGTCTAGTGATTGTTGGCCATTTGTTACCAATTTCGAAAACAGCTGTTTTCATAAAATCGTACCGGTTGTCCAATTGATAACTTAATGTAGGTATTTCGTTCTAAATATCACTAAGTTACCACAATGAAGATAAAATCAATAGGTATCCAGTGGTACCACCCGCAACATCCTAAGACGAAAATTAAATTTAGGTACTTACCCAAAGTTAACTTATTGCCAAACAAGTTGTGTTTTGCCAGTTCCCAAGTGTCGGCTGCAAAAGTCGTGCCACTCTAAAAATTCATTTGATCTCTAATTCTCGTGACATTAATAGGCTACCTGCTTTAGGGTTTGTTTATTAATAAAATAAAGTTCAGAATGTGATCTTTCGAATGGTAGGCCTATATAGCCTATAGGGTATTGTTCTCATCTTAGTGGATTATAACTTAAGTGTTTTTTACTGTTAAAATTATTTTGGCCCATACCATCGCCTTACTTACGATTGTGGCCATTCTAAGCATCAACGGCGAACGATTGTCCCGCGATCGCTGGCCACTGCTAGGGTTAAAGTAGGTTCATTAACCTAAACTTTATCTTAACATGGCCTTATTTAACCTTTTAACTTAGAAGTTAGCCCTACCTACGGTCACAAATTCCCATAACTTATATTAAACCCCTACCGCCCACCCTGACAAGCCTCAAAAAGAACCAGGCTACTTGTAACAGCCTATTAGTTCACCAGTTCATCTGTAACTTAGGCCTAAGTTAGCCCAGCTTATAACATCCATAATGCGACGAAATTCCCTTTTAAAAAACTTCAACTTAAGTTATTGACTAAGTAACAAAAGCAGTTGAAATATTTCTTTAGTCAATTACCTAGCCTAATTCGTTAATCAACATTCTTCAGTCGTTGAAGTGACTGCCATTAAGCCCCTTGCCGATGACAGAATCAGAGTTAAGTTAGGCTTAAACAACCAGCTGTAGGTCTACTTATCCGGAATTCATTCCTCTTGTAAGATAATGTAAGATAATAAACGTGTGTCAACCCAACACGTCTCATACAATAAACATTTTTAATACCTAAATTAGCTGCACTCACCATTTTGTAATTTTGATGAAACTTTTATACGGTAAAATGTTTCTAGGTAAGTAGGCTACGGTACTGTACGGTAACTTAACAGAAATCTCATGCAAGTAGCCTATTGAAAAATTATTTCCCCTTTGGGTTTTTTTTTTGGCTGCCATCTTTGTTTAAGTTTTAAGTTTGTACCGGTAGGCTAATGTGAAACATGTGTTTTTTTGCAAAAATCGTCCTTTTTACTAAGTTTTGATGTTAGATAACCTTTTTTTCTTACCTATAAGATATCAGGACAAATTAAAAACCAAGATATTCAGCATTAAATGGGCTTCAAATTTATATAGGCCTACAGTAGACTCCCTCTAGTTCGGCCACCTCGGGACCTGACTAGCCTACTGGCCGGACCACAAAATGGCCGGACTAACCGAATGTAGTAGAACCTCAATTATCCGGCATAATAGGGGGAGGGAGACCACGGATAACTAAAAACCTTGGTTAATCCAATGTGACCTAAACATTTTATAGGCTTATTACATACCGGTATACATAAAAACGCCTAATAGGCCTACTGTTAATG